GATACCTTACTCAAAATTGCAGGAAAAAAAAAACCCAAAATCAGAAGTAATCAAGAGGGGTATCTAGAAGAAGAAAGAGTGCCAGCCCTGATCTAGTTCTGGCACGCAGCTCTTCGTATCACCATGTCTGCAAACCTCAGTGCACCTTCGCCCAAGGCAGCTTGCTGTACCCTCCTCCGGAAAGGCTTTTGATCATTCGGAGCAAGCATGAACTCTGCTGAACTCTCATGGAGAGGTGATGGATTTTCCTGTCTCCTAAGCCATCAAATTGAGCTGGGATACCTTTTGGGAAGATGTGTTAATCAAATGAAAGCTATCAAACCCAACAGAATAGCAAGCACGACACACAGGAAATCAAATAGTTCTCTCCCATGAATCACTCTGTCTTTACGCTCTGTGAAGCTAAGGAAGAAGAAAGGCTGCCAAAATTTAACCACTAACAATAAAACCAGGACTGACATTTCAGCTTTGGTCCTAGCTGATTTGTCAAACTGACATTTCTAGTGATCTGGTGACACCGATTTTCCAGTGAAAAAAGACTGGAGAGAGGCAGGGTGAGAGCAGCAGCGACAGGACGGGGGAGCCCTGTAGGTGTTTGCGGGAGTCAGAAGTGACGAGGTTCACCTGCTGCCTCTGATACCAAGCCGGAGAATGGTACAGTCCTCTTACCCTTCTTTATGGCACACACAGACGGGTCAGATACAGGGATCATCTCTGCTATTCTGAGTAAATCACATATTAGAAAAGAGAGCAAATCCACCTCTGTATAACCAGACTTTCAGTGGGATATACTGGGAGGAGAGGAAAGGAGCAACTGGGTGTTAAGGCAAGGAAATCCATCTCTGGGGTAATAATGGTGGTTTGCACTTACAGATGTCACTAGAGCATAAACTCTCAAGGCAACTTTCAACCCGTGAAGTGCAGAGAACTGTATCATATAACTCAGTTGCAGATACTGCTGCCCAGTGTTAGACGTACCTAAAATCAGAAGTTTATATAGAAATATGCACAGAAAGTGTAGGAAGTCAGATCCCAGATAAAGTATCCGACCACCTGGGAAAAGCCATGGCAAGAAACTTTTTTGTTGCCCTGGGGAATGCTGAAGGGGTATTGCACGAGACAGGCACAGGAAAACAGAACAAGTCACCGGCAGAAGGAGAGGATGAAGTAAGAGCAAACAAACAAAATGTCCTTCAGTTTTCAGAACAGGGAAATTCCTTCACCTTGTGACCTGCAAACCTACAGATGGGAGAGCGAAGTTACAGGCTTTAACATTTGCATTTCCCACAGTTTCCCAGAATTTCAGTGTAGAAGCCCTGCATAAACTGATTCATCAGCTGCTTGTATGCAAGCACATTTATTTAAGGTTACGGGGGGAAGGGGATCCAACAACAGCTCTCTAGTGCTAAAAGCTCAGATTTGTAAGTGTAAGGAGGATTCCTGGAGTAAAGGGCAGAGCAGGCAGCCAGCCTACGGGGAAGTTCCACAGTACCGAATAAACAAACTCTGTCACATGCTTGCAGAAATGGAAGTAACACAACATATGTTGTCAGGAATTTTGTTAAGTCACATTTTGAATTCATGTATGCTATAGGAGAACTTAAACAAACAAAAAAGTCACAGGTCGGAGAACTATGGCAAGCAAGAGCGGAAAAATCCCACAGACTGCCTGGGCTGCACGATGCGTTAAAAGCGGGCGGCGAGCGGCCCAGGTAAGCCACCCGAGAAGCAACGCTCCCGGGCACCTTCCCCTGGAGGTCCAGCCTCCTGCAGCCCCAGGACGTGGCACCATGCACGTCCTGACCTACTACTGCATCTGAGCGTGGGAGGAGGCAACCCGAGATGGCACAACACGGGGCTGCTCAAGAGCAGACCGACAGAAGGAGTACCATGGAGGTTATTTTTACTTGTCTGTGAGTTTTGAGGTCAGCCACAAATGATTTCATTTAAGTTGTTGGTATAATTTCAGTAATCACAGGCTTTTCATCTACCCTTGTTTACTGTGCTCTGGTTATTTACCATGTTAATTGAGGCTGTGGGCATAAAATCAGCTTAATATAAGGGGATTTTGTTGCCAATTAACACGTTCCCATTTGTAGCGTTAGATAATCACTTGCTGCTATCCTCCTGGCTGTAATTCACAGGTTAGTTTGCATAATTACCTCCCATCCACTTCTCCCTGGTGTGCCCTCACCGAAGGGCCTGACTGGCAGGGTAGGGCAAACCCTCCTGCCCCAGCCTCCTCACCAGACCCACTGCGCAAAGCAAAGCAACTGCTCGCTGGCAGGTCTCACAGATGGGTGTATTTTTAATTATGCACCACAGCACGACACTCGTGATGCTAAATGGCTTGAATCATCTGGCAGAAACAAGCCATTTCTCAGAGTCACGGTGCATTGTTGTAATTTCTAAAGGAAACACAATTTTCCCTTGGTCCCCTGGACACTGGTTGAAGTGGAAGTGGCTGCATTCAGCACAGCTCCCCGCAGCTACAAGTTGGTGGGGGGACACAAATGTGATTCAGAGCATGAGGTTACCCTTCAGGTCTTCAACTGCAGAACAGAGGGAAGCTAATGCCAACCAAATCCACCCCAACTTGCGCTCCAGGCTGTTCGTGGAATCGCCTGTGGTCTCTTCACTTTCCTAGGCTGGAATTCTGTGCAGTAAGTTGGCTGGACTTACACCAGCTGACATCTAACGTGGTGGGATTTCCCTAAAACCAAACAGATGTTTTCGTAGCTCCATCTTTAGGGGCTGCCCTAGAACACTGCTTAACCAGAAGCTCAGTTAGACAGCTGCCCTGCACCCACCTTCTTGCACACCTGCAGCCAAACTGAAAGATTTCAGAGGATGAACTTGGCCATAACCCCACAGCAAGAACCCCTGGGAGCACAATCCGTTCCTCCACACAAGAACTCTGCACTTTATCCCTTTGCCACTGAGTTAACTTCGGCTCTATAAATAAACTGAGCTGTCTTTCAACTGCTGAAATAAATGGCTACACAAGGAGAAGTGTTTTGGTAGTACGTGTTGACCAGGAAGCTGGCCAGGAGCACTCCTGCTCCTAGCCACCTCGCTCTGCCCAGCTCTTCCTGTGGATTTCCTGCATATTTTCCTCTCCCTCCGCAGAATGAAGGCATCCATTCATCTCTGTCTCACTTTCCCTGGGAGACCACATACTTACTGGTTTCATAATCCAAGAGATGCCAGGATTCTTGCAAAATTCTTCCACAAACAAATAGTACTCTGAAGGCACTCTGAAGGTCTTCGGAATAAAGGCACATTTTGTTGCCTCAAACTTTCCTGCTTCTCTTTCTAACTGCTTCCAAAACCAATTCTGATTCTTCACTAGGCAGTTCTTCTGACTCAGCTGGGTAGAAAGAGAAATATAAGGCTCAGCACAACAAATGCTCCCACAGTCTGACTCACTTTAATTGCTCTTGAGGAGTTTCTGGGGATCAACTGCACCACATACTTGGAGGAGAAAAAAAATAAGTAAACACTGAGAACTGCTTTTTCTCTGTAGAGGAGGAGGCTTGATTTAGATTTTTTTTTTTTTTTTTTTTGTATCTCTGCACGAAGGCAGGGAGCTGGAGCAGTGCAGGTCTCACAATCCACGTTCTACCCTTTCCTCCCCGGGGCAGGCAGGCGGCTCGGGCCCAGGGCCACAAACCACCTCGGCCTCCGCTTGTACCTGTTGCGACTCACCTGCCCAGGGACACAGACGGGACTCCCCGGGGCGCGGCCGTTTCGGAGGTCACGGGCCAGCCCCGGGTGGTTTTAAGGCCGAAGCGCCTTTCGGGGGGCAGAGGGGACCCAGCGCCCAGGCCGAGGGCAGGAGGCTGGCGCGGTGCTCGCCCTCCCCGACACAGGGCTTCGCACTTTGCCCCGGGGACGAGCCGGAGCCGGAGCAGGAGCCGGAGCCGGAGCAGGAGCCGGAGCAGGAGCAGGAGCAGGAGCAGGAGCAGGAGCAGGAACCCGGATTTGAGCCTGAGCCTGAGCCTGAGCCTGCGCCCGCTAGGCCGCGCCCGTCCCCATGGCAACCGCGCTGCCATGCAGCAGGGGGCGCTCGCGGGACCGGACACTGCCCGCCCCCCCCCCGTGTGCTCCTGCCCCCCCCCCCCCCCCCCACTCCGTGTGCCCCCCGGCCTCGGGGGACGGCACCCACGGGCACGGCCCCGCCCCGCCCACGAGAGACCCCCCCCCGCTGCCTGCCCACGGGCAGCCCTGAGGTGTGCGGGGCAGGGGTCTCCCACACCCTTCGGCGGGTGCAGGCAGGGGTGGGCAGGGTGCAGGCAGGGTGCAGGCAGGGGTGGGCAGGGGTGGGCAGGGTGCGGGCAGGGTGCAGGCAGGGGTGGGCAGGGGTGGGCAGGGTGCGGGCAGGGTGCAGGCAGGGTGCGGGCAGGGGTGGGCACGGTGCAGGCAGGGGTGGGCAGGCAGGGGTGGGCAGGGGTGGGCAGGGGCAGGCAGGGGTGGGCAGGGGCAGGCAGGGGTGGGCAGGGGCAGGCAGGGTGCAGGCAGGGTGCGGGCAGGGTGCAGGCAGGGGTGGGCAGGGTGCAGGCAGGGCACAGGCAGGGGAGGGCAGGGTGCAGGCAGGGTGCAGGCAGGGGCGGGCAGGGTGCAGGCAGGGGTGGGCAGGGTGCAGGCAGGGCACAGGCAGGGGTGGGCAGGGTGCAGGCAGGGTGCAGGCACGGTGCAGGCAGGGTGCGGGCAGGGGCGGGCAGGGGCAGGCAGGGTGCGGGCAGGGTGCAGGCAGGGTGCGGGCAGGGTGCAGGCAGGGGTGGGCAGGGTGCAGGCAGGGCACAGGCAGGGGAGGGCAGGGTGCAGGCAGGGTGCAGGCAGGGGCGGGCAGGGTGCAGGCAGGGGTGGGCAGGGTGCAGGCAGGGCACAGGCAGGGGTGGGCAGGGTGCAGGCAGGACGCAGGCAGGGGAGGGCAGGGTGCAGGCAGGGTGCAGGCAGGGGCGGGCAGGGGTGGGCACGGTGCAGGCAGGGCGCAGGCAGGGCTGGGCATGCCAGCAGGCGCTTCGCCGCCTGGCCGCACAGACCTCTCTTGATGGAGCGGGGACAAAGGTTTTGTTCTTCTCCCAACACTGCAGCCTTGTGCGGCCGCGGCGGGCAGCGGCGACAGGCAGCAGCCAGCGCGGCCCCCACGCTCCCACGCCGCGGCGCAGAGGGGGAGCTTCTCCTCCTTTGTCTGCTCCCGGCGAGAGCGGCAGCCGGTGCGCGGCAGCGCCGGAGCAGCCGGGGAAGGGCCTTGGCAGGAGCCGCGGAGGACGGCGGCCGAGGTCCCCTCTGTCCCCGCACGGCCACCGCCAGCTCGGCCTCGCCACGCTGGGAACGAGCCCACCCGCCACGGGCAGAGCCATCCCGGGGGGAGCCGAGCTCTTCATGACAGAAACCCAGCCGGGGAGCGTCCGGAGCGGGGACGGCGGCTGCGCCTGGGGACGGGGAGGACGGCAGCATTTGGGACAAGGACACCCGTGCCCCGTCCCCGCTGCTGCCGGCCATGGGGAACGGCATGAGCCAGGTAACGGGGAGCACTGGGGCGGCTGCTCTGCAGGGCCGGCCGGGCCGGGGTGGCTTGTCCCGGCGCTGGAGGTGGGACACCCTTGGCTGGTGGCTCGCTCTGCCCGTGCCAAGCAGCCTTTCGCCCGCCGGCACCAGCTCCGGCACAGGGCTCGGCTCGCGGGGAGCTTGTTTACCCGCCGGCGGAGCAAAATCCAGAGAAGCAGCAGGCAGGGACGCTGCGCCAGCCGGGGCTTGTCCCGACAGCCCCCCCCCCCCCCCGGGGGTGTGTAGGGCAGGGGTGTCAGCGAGCAACCCCCGAGGGAACGGGGAACCTTTCCCAACGCCTTTAAACCCAAAGCACCAGCTCCCGAGCACACGCCGGGAGCCCCGTGTGACCCCCAAACCCCGGGGGTCCAGCACCCCCCTGCTCAGCAGGGCCGGGCCGGGGCTCAGCATCACTGGGCGGAGGGGACGGGCACTGTTTCATGGTCATTTGATCTGTCACAGCTGAACAGATACATCTTCCTGCAAAAATCTCCAGGTCCTAAGCCCTAAACACCGCTCCCCCCCCCATAACCACTCATTTTGTGGGGAAGTGCCCGGGGCTGCAGACGGGGTTGTGTTGCCCCATTTTCTCCAGCGAGGACTAGGTCAGAAGGGCGCTGGGGACGGGAACGTGACAGTATTCATGGCTCAGCGTCCTGCCCTTGGGAGCTGCCCTTGCTAACTGGCGCTCTCCTACCCGCTCCTCTCAGTGCCGCAGCTGCAAGTTAAAGGTGCCCTGTCGATAGAAAATCGATTTAAAATCTTAGGAATCATAAAACCATCCCTCTTTAAGCTGTTCAACCAAGAGAAACGTTTCCAAATGTGGGCAGTGAGATGAGAGCTCAGCAGGGCTGGTAGAAGTCACCTCCTCCCACCCAGGTCCTGGGCACCAAACATGGGAGCAGGGAGAAGCTGGAGGGGGGTGAAGGGCCTGGGGAGCCTCGCTGCCTGGGCTGGGAGAAAGGGAAAATATAAAATAGCTCTGGGTAAGAAGGGGTGCAAGGTATCCTGCTTCTGCACCCGCAGTGCAATTAACAGAGGCATTGTCAAGTAATTATCTTCTCATCATGAGAAGTGGAATTTCACAAAGAAAATAAGATGAAGACATGGTGTCCAGAGCAGTCTGTTAGAAAGGGGCTCCCTGGAGCGCAGAGCGAGGGGAGCAGAGCTTGGGGCTGGGAGGGGGGACCATTGTATCCCCCCCCAGGCTTCTCCCTGCCTGTTGTTTCCCCGTCCCTTGGGCAGCAGGATTTCCACAGGTCACGGGTAGAGTCCAAGGCTGCACGGAGGCGTATGCAGCTCGCTGAGCTCAGATAATAAGCCCCGACAACGAATTTATTGATAATAAACAAGAGGAGCAATAAAAAAGCTGTTGCCGACTCCCAGCGCTGGGCGGTTGCGCAGGTTGGGGTGCCAGGGCTACATCCAGCCCCGGGGGCTGGGTGCTGGAGCAGCAGCAGCCGCAGGAGCCCAGGGGATCGGCTGCACTGGCACCGCTCCTGCCCCGGCGCTGGTGATGGTCAAGTTCACAGCAGAATTTTGGCCTTTCCAGCCAAGGTCGCTGTTTCCCGGGGGGGGAGGGTGGTCCCGGCGTGGTGGGCGCCACGGCACAAGGTCGCTGCTCACGCTGCCGCTTCTCCTTGTGTCCCGCAGATCCTGCCCGGCCTCTACCTTGGGAATTTCATCGGTAAGCAGAGCCCTGCCACCGCAGAGACGTGCTCCAGCCGGGGAACTGGGGCTCACCGGAGTTCGGGCTGCCCTGGCAGCGCCCACCGCACCGGCAGCAGCGAGAGCAGAAACCCCTCTGCCTTCCTTTGGTTTCCTTGTTTAACGGCTGCTCTGAGCTCTCGGGACACATGGGGGGGTGGGGGAAGGTGCTGAGTGGGGGGGGGTGTCACAGCCTCGCCAGGAAGGGTCCCAGCAAGATGTAACCCCAGCACGACCCCTCCAGCTGGGATTGGGAAGCCCTCGCAGCCCTCCCGCATCCCCCTGCGCCAGCTGGGCAGACTGGGAGGGGATGGGAGCATGTGGGGGTGGCACAGGGCGAGCCGGGCTTTGCTTTTAAACGCAGCCCCCCCAAAATCCTGGGGGGGGGTTCACCCGCCGCCGTGGGCTGTGCCACATGCCCGGGCTGGCACGGATCCTGCACCGGGAGCAGAGGAGCCGGTGGTGCTGCACCGGTGCGAGGGAGCGGGACCGGAGCCACTCGGGGTGATCCCCCCCCCCAGTTTCGCAGCTGTAGGAGATGCAGGAGGGGGCTGCCCACCCTCGGAGGAGGAGGGCAGGAATTTCTCCCAGAGGCAGAGTCACCCCTTCTCACACCAGTTCACTATTTTAAGGGGTTTTCGTTGTCAGGGGAGAATTCATGACCAAGTACTGGCATCTGCCACGACAAATCAGCATTTATTAGTGCTCCTGCCTCCCTAATGGCTCATTTCACAGCTTGATTCCTGCTGTAAGCGCTGAGGTTTGAAACCACTGGTGTGAATTGCTAAGAAAATATCATTGGAGCCTTAGCGGCAGCCCTGGCTGGGGCAGCCCCCTGCTCCCTGCACCCCAGGGAGCACCTTGGGGTGGGCTGGGGGGGCTGTGGCTTACCGGGAGCAGCGGGACAAGGGCACCCGGCTCCCAGGTTCATCACGGGGATTCCTGTGAGTCAACCTGACCTGGGGTCTTGGCCTGATGCCACCCAAGCGTCGCTCTACCAGGCGACAACGGAGATTTCAGGCCTGCCACATTAAGCTCTGACTGCTCCCGGAGACATTTTCTCCAACGGAAAGCTTTTCCAGCCGCTGTAAACCTTGACACCCCTGTCACTAATTGCTGTCGCCCTGCCTGCGCGAGGCGGGTGGGAAGGTGACGGGTGCTGTGCGAGTCCCCACGAGGGTCCCCGCCTCCCTCCACACACCCCCCACGGCACGGCTCGCCCCCGGAGCCCCTCTCTTGAGGCTCACCCCTATTAAAATTCACATCACGCCGTTAGCACATTGCTGTCTGGATTCCCGAGCCAAGGTTTTACACCACGTGAAAGTTTAGACACCCAAAGAGACGGGATGGGGAAATGTCACTCCTCCTCTCTGGCAGCTCACGCAGCATCCGCTGGTCGTGGCACGAAAGGGGGACGGCTACGAGGTGGCTCAGCCAGCAAGGCAAGCGTGCTCCCCTCCCAGCGTAACAACCACTGTGCTGGACCAGCGACCGGGATCGCAGCCAGGGATGCTGGAGCATCGGTGGGAAGCAGGTTGTTGCCCCAGAAAGCCGAGGGCGCCCGATTCCTGCGCCTGCGATGCAGAGAGGACACACAGGGTGCTGCAGGTCGCTGCTGGGGTGTTCCCTGCAGATCCCCCAGGTGCTAAAGAGGAGCTCGGGAGGAGCGAGCCAAACTCAGGGTTGGTACGAATCGAATCGCCGCAGCTCTGCTTCCACAGCTCACGAGATAAAGCGGATGCCTCAGGCTGCAGCAAGTCCCTCCGCTACACGCGTGTTTGCACAGGGAAGGTGCAGGCAGAGCTCACGTCCCCTCCCCGGGCTGGGGACGAGTACAGGCAGGCGGGAAGCTGCCTGCTTGCAAAGGAGGGAGTTTTTCCGTGCAGATGTGAATGCTCACCCCAGCACAAACAGCGAGGTCAAAGTGCCTTTGGAGGAGGGAGGTCTCTGGTTTGGTATCACGGGGTCTGCGTTCCAGATTTCCAGGGTGTGTTTGCGTATTTGCCTGTGCCGCTGCAGCCGATCCTCTGGAGCACGGCGGATGCACTTGTGGGATGAGAAGGGAAAGAAATGAGCACACACTAATATCTAGTTTTATCCTTCAGATGCCAAAGACCCGGAGCAGCTAAGCCGGAACAAGATCACCCACATCGTTTCGATCCATGAATCTCCCCAGCCCTTGCTGCAGGTAGGGGCCCGTGCCTGATGCCACCGTGTAGATCTCCGCAGATTCTTCCATGCTGCAGCATCTTCCTTCCCCCTCCAAGCACCCGACAGCACGTACACCTCTGCCTGGTCAGTGGGCCCAGAGGGGCAGGGCAACCCCCCCCAGCATGGGAAATGGGTCATTTTGTGACTACAACCCGGCCTTGAACGCTAATGGGAAACAATTTCTAGCTCTCCAGCCTCACCTTGTTCCCCACCCTGTCCCACGAGCCGCCTGTCCCCTCCCCGCCCAGGGAGGGAGCAGCCCCGGCCCCACGCAGGGGGGATGCTGTGTTGGGGGAGCGAAGCCCCACGAGGAGCAAAGGCGCTGCCGGACCAGCTGCAAACACATGCAACCCCCCGACCACAGCGCCCGAGCTTCTCCTCTTTGTGTCTTCCAGGACATCACCTACCTCCGCATCCCCTTGCCCGACACCCCCGAGGCCAACATGTGAGTACCCCGGGGAGGCCGGGGCCGGCTCGGGGCACACGGGAGGGCTGGGCTCTGCAGGGCCTTCAGGGGTGAAGGCTCGCGGCACCCCAAACCCTCGGGGTGCTGCCTCCAGCTCCTGAAGCGCAGCAACCCGCAGGCTGGAGGCATGATGCCCCGGTGCTGGGGACCACCTCTGGTCCCCGACAGCATCCCAGAGCATCCACCTCTGGGGAGGGGGGTCCCAGCTCTGGGGCGAGGCGAGGGGCAGCCCCTCTGCAGCACCGATGGAGGGAAGCAGCGAGCGTCCCCCCCCGGGAGGTGCCTGGAGAGCGGGGGGAAAGCGGGTAAAGGCGTGGAGCCGGCCAAGGGCGCTGGCGTGGCTGGAGGAGCGAGCGGCCGAGCTCCCACTGCCCCAGCACAAATCCCCCGAGGCCCGGGGCAGCCCCGCACAGCGCGAGCTGGCCTGTGCACCTTCCCTTGGGAAACAGCAGCACTGAGCTGCTCGGGCCTCGGCAGCTGCTGGCAGTCCCTGTAAAGCAACGGGCGGTTTATTTTAGCGTTTCGTCCCCAAATGCGCAGGGCTGCCCTGCCTGCAGCCTAAAAATCCTGTTTCCCCCCTGAAGTCCTTATTCTGTCCGGTTTATCTTTCCCGACAGCAAGAGGCACTTCAAGGAATGCATCAGCTTTATCCACCAGTGTCGCCTGCACGGAGGGAACTGCCTTGTCCACTGGTAACGCTTCTTTCCCCGTGCCTGCCGCCACGTCCCCCCAGCGCAGCAGAGAAGATCCAGCCCCTGGCCCCCCAGCTTTGGCTGCGGACCCCTGATGGACGCCAGCCTGTGCCAGAGGGCTCCGTGCCCACGGATCCACCCCGGATCCACCCTCGGCTGCGGCTTGTGACTCAAACCCCGCAGCATCCGGGCAGCCCTGGAGACGGGGCAGCTTTCTGCTGCAGCTGAGCGAGCGGGAAGAGCCGGGTTTGGGGCAGGCAGCCAGGCAGCAGCCGCTGCTCTCACTTCCCCGGGGGCGAGCGGGTATTTATAGGCACTGGGGGAGAGGACCTTGGAAGGGCTCAGGCCCCCCTGAGAGCAAGTTCTCGGAGAAGAGGAACCGAAATAGCTGAGGCACAGGGGTGGAGGAAGGGGCGAGCGTGGGGTCAGGGCATGCGGCTGACAGCAGCCCTTCTCTCCTTTCCCCTGCCAGCCTCGCCGGCATCTCCCGCAGCACCACCGTGGTGGTCGCCTACGTCATGGCTGTCACGGAGCTGAGCTGCCAGGAGGTGCTGGAGGCCATCCGGACCGTCCGGCCCGTCGCCAACCCCAACCCCGGCTTCAAGCAGCAGCTGGCTGAGTTCGGCGGCGGCGCAGCCCGCAAGGTGGGACCAGCCTCTGCCCCCCTCCCCAGCGCTCTGCCCCACGGCTCTCGGGGCAAGGACGAGTCCCCAAGCGACCAGGTTGCTTCCCCGTTGCCCTTACTGGCAGGCTTGGACCTGCCCTTGGAGACAGGCCCCTTAGTTTGCTTCTCCCTCCTTCCCCAGGTCCGCAGGCACCTGAAGCAGAGGTATGGGGCATCCCCTTTCAACGACGAGGAAGAAATAAAGGCTTTGCTGCCAGCGGGGAGAGGAGGATCATCCAGGACGGAGGGAGCTCTGCAAGGACTGGTCCCAAGAGCCAGAGACATCAGGAGCACGACTCCCTTCCTGCTGCGGGTGAAGAGGACGTTCTCCTGCATCCCGGCTTGTCTGAAGTGACCCCAGCCCAGGGAGAGCAGCGAGAATCACCCAACAGCCTGGGAGAGACGAAGGAGCCGCAGCACAGCGGGCCGGGGCAGCACTGTGCAGGGGAGCCGCGCCAAGCCCAGCTCCTTCTTCTCTTCTGGGGTGTGAGCGTGCCATCCTCTGTCCTGGCTCGCGGGATCTGTGCGCGCTGCCGGGCTTCGCAGCGCTCGGTGGGCTCAGCCTCTCCGCAGCCGGCGTTTTGGGGCTGCCCGGTGAAAGTAGCAGGTCGCTGCCCCCCCCAGGTCACCGCAGGCTCCGGCTTGGGGCAGAGTGATGGAGCTGGGGGGGGGGGGGGGGGGGGGTGTTGCTCCTCCACCAGCAGCAGCTTTAGCACCTGGGGACCCCACTGCGTGGGCCTCGGGGCGCGCAGGGTGCGGGAGAGCCGGTGCTCCCCTCCGAGCGGTTTTCCCACCAGCAGCACAAGCTCCCAGAGCCGAGGCGGCTGCGGAGCGGGGACGCGCGGGTGCTTGAGCCGGTAAATGCCACCGCACCAGCTCCCAGGCAGGGGTCCAGCTCCAGCCCCGCCAAGCACAAGCCCTGAAGCTTTAGGAGTCCATCGCACCCCACTCCCACCCATCCCAGGACACGATCTTTAGAAAGGTGGGAACTAAGCATTTAACCTGGCCAGACCTCACTAAAGCAGAGCCTTAAAGCCGTTTCGCTTAAAGACTTTCTATGTTTTCCCCCCCACCCCCAGTAATAAACACCTATTCTCCGTGGTCTGCCTGGGGCGTGGTGTGACTCCCCCGCGACGGCTGGATCGGAAGGGGGATGCTGAGGAGGAAGGGGAGGAAGATCCCGGCTCTCCACACCCCAAGGAGGGGGTGGCAGGAGCGGGCTGGGATCACCAGCACGCCTGGACAGGGGACAACCCTCCTGCCTCGCGGGAAGGTTACAAGAGAGGCCAAAACCCCGGGTGCCGCACCAGGGCTCTCTGTGGGGACAGACTCTACTCCAGGAGAGGTTGGGCACTCACGTGGAGCCTGGTTCACCCCAGCCTCTTCACTCACCGAGTCCAGGAGCCTCTTGGCTCCAGCTAGCACTGGAAACCTGGCACCAGTTGAGCACCCCAAGCCCCAGCTCCTCCCCAGACCTGTCCTATTTACACCTTTCCCTGGGGCAGCATCCCAGGTGGCGAAAATACTGGGGATGCGCAGCTGGGCCATCAGCATCTCCCCAGCTGGCAGCCAGGGCACGTTTCTGGGGTCCCCCCTTGTCCCTGCCCCCCCCTCTCCCACGGGGGAGGGTGTCCCCCAGGGCCAGGTGCCTGCGGGGAGGTTTCTAGCCCTGCGGATGATGGGGGGCCCAGCACGGGGTCCCAGAGCAAAGGAACTTCCCAGGAAGCAGGGACTGCCTCTGCCCTGGCTGCTTCCAGGAGACACCAGCCTGGGAGAGGGCGTGCCCATCAGTAATTAATAATCACTCATTTACCCCCGTGCGGCAGCTGTGGCTGAAGGTGAGCAGCCGGCTGGGCGTCCCGAGGGTCCCTGGGTGCTGTGGGGGTGCTGCGAGGGGTGCATGGAGCAGGAGGGGCTGGTGGCCGAGGCGGCGTTATCCCCGCCGCGCTCCACATTTTGGCACCCTAAGCCTTCCCTCTTGTTCACGCAGGGGGAATTTAGGAGGGTGCCACTGCAGCAGCAGCTCCTGGGAGCCCGGAGGCTCCTGTGGAAGCACACCCGCTCCTGTTCCACCTCTGGCAGAGCCTCAAGGCTGTGGTTCCTCCCTGCTGCCAGCTCCTGCCGGGCTGGGTGCTGCCTTGGGGTGACCCAGGCAGGCCGGGAGCGCGACTCCCCCCTCTCTGCACAGACACCGAGCCCGCGCAGTAACCAGGGGTGCATCACCCTCCGCTGCCCCCGCACCCTGCGCCGTGGGGTGCCCCTCTCCTCCCAGCTCCTGCCAGGCTGCTCTCCCCACTCCCTCACCCCCAGGTCAGGGCTCTCCAGCACACTCTTCCCCCCCCCCCCCCCCCAGCACCCAGCAGGGTGGTGGCCCTGCACCCCAGGACCACACACGTGGGATGGATGCGTGCCTCGTGCACGGCTGCACCCTCCCATCAGTCCCATGCTGGGACATGCTGTGCCAAGGTGTTTACACCCAGGGTTTTCCCTGTTCACGCTTTAAACCCACGGCGAGGCCATACACGGAGCAAAGGCACCTCCAGCCCGGCTCCGCAGCACAGCAAAATGTATTTATTTTGGCAGATCTGATTTGCACAACTGGAAAAACCCAGGCGAGGGCAGGGTTAGCTGAGAGTTAATGTTTGACTCCTTTTGAAGCTCATTTCAGCATGAAATGTTTAAGGGTTAAGCAGCTTCACCTTCCCTGCACAGGGAGCAGCACAACAGGGAAACCAGCTCCTGAGCATCTTCGCTGATGCCGGGGTAATTAGATCCCACGGGTCCTGCGCGTCACCGCGCGGCTGTCACACGAGATGAAATCCTTGGCTCATAAAAGCTTATCCCGTGGGGTTGGGGCTGGCTAACTGCCTGGCGGCCACGATGACTTCCCGACCTTGGGATGTAATCTGCGCGAGCCGCTGGGAGAGGCTGAGCGATGGCCCCTTGCCGTCGCCCCCCCCTTCCCAAGGCACAAAGGGGCGACGTGGATTCCGTCGGTGGGTCCCAAGCCCTTTTCTCAGCACGTGGCCCCCAGGCTTGCCCGGAGGAGGGGCGCAGGGGAGGCCAGGGTGCTGCCCCAGCATGGGCGCAGCCGGCTGGAAATCCCCTCCTCACCGGTGCGGTGCAGGGAGCAGAGCAGAGGATTCCTGAGCCACCCCGAGTGCGGCTGGGTGCCAGCCCGGCCACGGCAGCACCGAGCAGGATGGCCACGGGCTACCAGGAGGAAGGCAAGCATGGCCCAAGGCTGGCTGAGACAGGGCGGGTCCTACCTGCCACCCCTCTCCCCCTCCCCAAAGTGGGGCTCCTGCAGCTCCCGGCGCTCAGAACCGCAGCGCTGGTGTCGGCACCTCTTCCTCCTCCTCCCGGGCAGGGAGAGCCGTGCTGCCGGCAGACCCCGTGTCAGCTGCAGCCCCTCACCTTGGGCAGGGTGGGCAGGCTTCGCTCATGATGGCAAAGGGGCCGCGGACGGGCTCGGTAAGGAGGGCAAACCCCTGCCAGCGTGGCTGGCTTGCACAACCCTGTGTGGCCCCGTGTGCCCTCCATCCCCACATCCGTGGGGAAAGCCCAGGGCTGGGTGCTGCGCTGCTGCTTATTCATTTTGAGGCTTTGCAGCCCCCCTCCCCGAGCTCTCGGGAGCCTTGTCGCTCCTCCCCGTGAGAGGTGACTTTCTCTGACTCAGAGCTGGAAAGGAAACCCAGCAGGCTGCGAAAGGAGACCCGGTGGGCTGCGGGCCGGGCGGAGGAGCTGGGTTTCCCCATGCAGTGACACGTGGCTCTGCTGCCGTGATGGAGGAGCCGACACCGGTGTCACCCCGGCGCGGCCCAGGGAGCCCAGAGGGCTAAAGCCCACCTGGCCCGTGCCTTGCTGCTGGGGGGGGGACACCCCACCGCCAGCCCTGCTCCAGCACAGAACTTCACAAGGGCACCCAGGTGGTGCTTGGTACCAGCCAGCTCCCTCCCTGCTCTGCGTGGGGTGAAATCCCTCTTCCTCCTGAAAGGACGGCTGAGCTGGGCTCCTCACGGGAAGGAGAGCGGGACAGACCCTCGCGGTAGCCGTGGCCCTGAGGAAGGATGCTCAGGAGCCAGCTGGGAGCCAAGGGGCTGTCTGGGAGCCCGCGCTGGGCCCAGCCCTCTCCCAGCGCTGACGCCCGTCTCACCTACGCGTGCACCCACCTCCCCGCAGAGCAGCGCAGCCGCGGGATGCCGTTTCCCAAGGTGGGAGAAGGCCGGTGCCCAGAAGCGCCGTGAGCACGGGCACCGGCATCTCCCCTGCGGGGACGGCTTCTGCCAGGAACCCCGGGGCTGGAGGAGGGGGGGGAGCTGGCGTGGGCGCGGGATGAGTCAGGCTCCCTCGCCGGCCCCGGCAGCCCTTGGCACAGCTCATCTCAGCCCTTCCCACCCGGTTCCCGTTCCACTCAGCACCCGGAGCCCTGCGAGGCAGATGCGAGCGTTAGTGTGGAGGAGAGATTTGAGAAATGGGGCAGCGTCACTGCTCACGCCAGCCTGGAAACCCCGTGCCTGTGCCCACAGCTCCCCCACACCCGTGGGGCTGAGCTGCTGGTCCCACAGGACACAGGCCCCGGGATGGGGAGGTGCCCGGGTCCCCAAAGCAGGAGGACGGGGGGAGTGGGGTCCCTTGTCCCCTGCAGGGAGCGTGTGGGAGTCCCGAAAGTCTGAGGGTGGCACCCGGGAGGGGTGCAGGGGTGCAGGGGAGCTGCCTGTGCTTTCTGGTGCCCTGTCCCCTCTGCTGTGGGTGCGATGCCTGTCCCCTAGCCCATAGGCTGCTCTGTCCCCTCTCCCGTGGGTGTGAGTGTCCCCTCTCCCACGGGTGGCCCTGTCCTTTCTCCCGTGGGTGCAAGATGCCTACCCCCTCTCCTGTCAGCTGCCCTGTCCCCCCTCTCAGCGGTGCGAGGTGGGTGTCTCCCTCCCCCGTGGGTGGCCCTGTCCCCTCTCCCGTGGGCTAGCTACCCAGCGTCCCTCCCCTTCCCGGCGCAGCCAAAGCCGGTGGCGTCGGGCGGGAAAGGGAAAGTGAAAGCCGGAGCGGCGCTTTCGCTTTCGCCGCCCCTGACACGTTCCCGCGGGGCCGCGATGGCGGAGCCGGGGGTGCCCATGCGGCTCAAGGAGTGGCTGATCGCGCAGATCGACAGCGGCCGGTACCCGGGGCTGCGCTGGGAGAACCGGCACCGGACGCTGTTCCGCATCCCCTGGAAACACGCGGCCAAGCAGGATTACCGGCAGCAGCAGGACGCCGCCCTCTTCAAGGTACCCCGGGCTCCCCGGGACCCCCTAGCCCGGCTCCGGGAGCATCCCCGGGGGTCCCCGCTGCCCAGCTCCGTGCTCACCCCGAGGACCACCCCACCCCCCCCCGCCTGGCTCCATGCGCCCCCCCCCCCCCCCAGGACCTCCACCCAGCTCCACGCGCGGCTCTGGGGCTCCCCGCTACCCAGATCTGGGCGCAACCCCAGGACCCCCACCCAGCTCCAGCTGCACCACTAGGACCCCCCACTTGGCTCCATGTGCACCCCCAGGACCCTCACCCAGCTCCATGCGCACCCTTAGGACCCCCCCACCCAGCCCCATGAGGACCCCTAGGCCCCCCCACCCAGCTCCAGCTGCACCACTAGGAACCCCCACTTGACTCCATGTGCACCCCCAGGACCCCCACCCAGCTCCATGCACACCCTTGAGACCCCCCACCCAGCTCCATGCACACCCCTGAGACCCTCCACCCAGCTCCATGCGCACCCTTAGGACCCCCCACTTGACTCTGTGCACAACCCCGGGGCTCCCCACCCAGACCCATGCACACCTCTGGGGGTCCCTGCTGCCCAGCTCCCTACTGCACCCTTAGGACCCCCCATTTGGCTCCATGTACACCCCCAGGACCCTACACCCAGCTCCATGCACACCCCTGGGACCCCCCCCCCCCACACACACACAGAGCACCCCAGGGCACACAACCCTGGCTCCCCATCACCCCCCACCCAGCCCCGGTGACCCCCCTTGCCCAGCGGAGCGGGGAGCTGGGGCGCAGGCAGCCCCCCCCCACAGCACAAACCACCCTCTGCCCCCCAGGCTTGGGCCGTCTACAAGGGGAAGTACCATGAGGGGACGGACAAGGCTGACCCCTCCACCTGGAAGACGCGTCTCCGCTGCGCCCTCAACAAGAGCACCGACTTCCAGGAGGTGCCGGAGCGGAGCCAGCTCGACATCTCCGAGCCCTACAAGGTGTACCAGATCGTGTCCGACGGCGCCCGGGACACAGGTACGTCCCTGCCGTCCCCTCCTCCAGCACCAGACTCGGGGATGACGCCCCCACCCTGCCTGTACGAGCTCCCGTGTCCCTTCCTCCCCACTCCTCTTCCTCTGCGGGTGTCCTGGGCCAGCCAGGCGCCGTTTGCTGGGGGCTAACTGGGTTTTCCTTGCTCTCTGCAGAGAAGGACGGTGACACACGGTCCCCAGCTGGCGAGGATCGGCGGGTGAGCCAGCCCCCAGCCCCGTGCCCCCCGCTGCAGCATCCTGGGCTCGGGCAGGGGAGCTGCCGGCACAGAGGGGTCCGTGGCAGTGGCGGGAGCCGGCTCAGGACCCTCTGCTGCCGGCTCAGCCCTCACCGCAGCCCCTCTCCTCCCCAGGGCAGCGCTGCGGGGGGTCCGGAGGAAGAGGAGAGCCAGAAGGGCACGATGGAGATGGGCCACGTGTCTCGGCTGCCCCTGCTCCCTGCCCACCCGGCCGAGCGAGGTGAGGAGGGTCCCTGGCAGGGGGCTGGGGGCAGGGAGCACCCGGCAGGAGCGACCCCACTTTCCGCAGCCCCGTCCTGTGTTGCAGGCAATGCCCGCAGGGACGGAGATGGAGGCTGGGGGGTTCCCTCCCTGCCCCAGCGAAGCCACTTGATCACACGCTCAAGGGCTTTAACGAGGCTCAATAACAAGGAGCAGCGGGGGGAAGGACCCTGCTGCCCCCCTGGCCCAGAGGCTGGGACTGGGACAGCACCCCGGAGCCCTTGGGGACCGCTGCCCACGTCCCTTTATCCCCTTGTCTCTGCCACCCAGGGTACAACGTGAGGGGAGTCTTCTACAGCTGGAACCAGACCCATGGCCACCTCCTCCCCGGACCCCCGTCCTACCTCCCCGTGGAGGATGTCAACCACTCAGGTAGGAACCAGGCGGTGCCCTGGGTGGCAACCCCCCCCCCCCCGCCCCCCCCCCAAAAAAAAACCAGGCTGCCGGTAAACTGATCCCCCCAGCACCACCACCCCCCCTCCTCGCCCCAGACTGCTGGCTCCACGTCCGCCTCTACTACTGCGACGTGCTGGTGAAGGAGGTCACCACCCGCACGGCCGAGGGCTGCCGCATCACCTCCCGCGCCGTGCCGGCCGACAGCGAGCGCCTCTACGGCCCCTCCTGCATGGAGCAGATCGAGTTCCCCCCGCCGCGGGCGCTGGGCGGCGGTGGCCGGGTGGCCGGCATGACCGACGTGCTGGAGAGGCTCCTGCCCCACCTGGAGCGCGGGGTGCTGCTGTGGGTAGCGCCCGAGGGGGTCTTCATGAAGCGGCAGTGCCAGGGCAGGGTGTACTGGAACGGGCCACTGGCCCCGCACAGGGACTGGCCCAACAAGCTGGAGAGGGAGAAGACCTACAAGCTGCTGGACACGCAGCAGTTCCTGCAGCGTAAGTGCCCGCTCGCCGGCCCCCTCCCCGGGAGACCCCCATCCTCTTGGGAAGGCGGGGGGGCACGTCCTGCTCGGGGCTGTGGGGCCCGCGTGTCCCCTGATCCGGTGTCTTGCAGAGCTGCGTGGGTACCTGAGCCACGGGCAGCCCACGCCGCAGTACCAGATCCACCTGTGTTTCGGGGAGGAGTACCCCACCGGCGCCGGGCACCACTTCCAGAAGCTTATCATGGCCCATGTGAGTATGGCCCGGGGCTGGCGCCGGTGGGCCTCACAGTTTCGGGGGCCGGGGGGGGGGACACCCGTGCCCGTCCTCCGCCGGCTCTGTGCCTCCGCAGGTGGAGCCGGTGTTCGCGCGGGAGCTCTTCCATCACGCCCAGCGCGTGGGCCCGACGCTGCTGCGCCAGCCCCCCCAGCCCTGCACCCCCGGCGCCTCCAGCCACGTCATCCGCGTCCTCAAACAGCTCTGCCAGCCCTGAGGCCCCGTCGCGACGAAGCCTCGCAGCAGGATGCTCTTGCTGCCCCACGGCCCCGCTCCGGCCACCTTCCCCGGGGACGGGGATGGGGCGCTGGGTGCCACCCCCGCACAGATCTCTATTTATTCCCCAGGAGCCCACCCGGGTGGGGTTTGCTGTGTGCTTGGCCGCTGAGCCGGCTCCATCCTCGTGCCCTGCACCGCCGGGGACTTGCCAGTCGCGAACCTTGGAAATAAAGGTTGTGTTTCGGTAGCGCTGGCTCTGGTGGCGGGGGGGACACAGGTGGCTGAGGGAGCCGACCCCCCCCCCCCCCCAAACCCTGCGCTGGCTCCAGACCTGCCGTGCCGCGAGCCCCTTGGCGAGGGGTGCAGGCAGCGGCGGGGTGCCCCAGAGCTGCTCTGCCCTCCCCCGGCAACGCGGGAGCCTGTCCCAAAAGCACTCGCTGCCCGTGCCTCAGTTTCCCCTGGTGAGCGGGGCGAGGGGGGCTCCTGGGAGGTGGGGGCCGTGCCGCAGCCTGGGGGGGACATCATTCTGTCTGCGCCCAGCGCGGGGACCTGGCACGGAGCAGAGACCTGGCGCGGTGCACAGGACCCGGCACGACCCCGGGCTGGGGCGGGGGGCACTGGGGTGTGGGGGGGGGGGAGCCGAGGGCTGGCAGCCAACAGGTCCGTTCCACACCCCCCCCCGCCCCGGCTCAGCCCTCCCGCCAGCCCCAGCCGGCTGCGCACCGTGGGCAGGATGAGACCCAGGTCGTGGGAACCTCCCGTGGGAAGAGGGGCCGGGGGGGGGGGGGGGGGGGGGGACTTGGCCGAGGCCAGCGCTGCCCCGGGGAGGCCGCGGCCGTGCCAGCCCCCGAGGCGGCTGGCTGGCTGCTGTCCTCAGGCCTTGGCGGCGCGTCCGTCCGTCTGTCCGTCCGCGGGGACCAGCGCTGGACGATGGAGCCCCGCTCCGCCCTGGGCGGCCCCGGAGAGGAGGGGCCCACCGCCCCCTCGCCGGCCGGGCGCGGGAGGTTGGGCCGCCGGCGGGTTTTAACGGGCCGCGCCGGGGCCGTGCGGCAGAGCGGGAGGATGCAGCCCGACCTCCCCGTCGGAGACACGGCGCTGCGCAGCCCGCCGGCCCCAGAGCTGGCCGGTGGCCCCTTCCCCAGCTCCGAGGCCACCAAGCCACCCTACAGCTACATCGCCCTCATCACCATGGCCATCCAGAGCGCGCCCGAGAAGCGCATCACCCTCAGCGGCATCTACCGCTACATCATGGGCCGCTTCACCTTCTACCGCGACAACAAGCAGGGCTGGCAGAACAGCATCCGCCACAACCTCTCCCTCAACGAGTGCTTCGTCAAGGTGCCCCGCGACGACAAGAAGCCCGGCAAGGGGAACTACTGGACCCTCGACCCCGACTGCTACAACATGTTCGAGAACGGCAGCTTCTTGCGGCGCCGCCGGCGCTTCACCAGGAAGAGGGGCTTCCAGGATGTGCCGGGCGCCGAGGGGGACGAGGGACGCGGGAAACCCCCCCGGCAGCGGGCACGGGGGCCGCCCGCCGCCCCGCTGCCCGAGGAGGGGAAGGCGGAGGGGGGCTACGCCTCGCCGGCGGCTGCAGGGCGCCTGCCGAGCCCCAGCACCGCGCTGCCCGAGGGGGCCGGGGGGCCGGGGTGCGCCGAGCCCTGCGCCCGGCGGCAGCCACCCAAATCCAGGCAGCCCTGCCTGTACCTGCCGGATGCGGCGCAGCCCAAGGGGCCTTTCTTTGCCCCCCCGGAGAGCCGCCCGCCCAAGGAGACTGTTTTCGGGGGGGTCCCGGCGGCGCTGCAGCTACCCCGGCCAGGTCAGTACCCGCTGCCCGGCGAGCGCCCGGTGCCGCACCCGGCCCTGCTGCCCTCCCTGCTGCCCACCCAGCCCAGGGACCCCCCGCAGGACTCCCCGGCCCCCCCCAGCACCTCCCCGGGGCAGCTGGAGGGTGAGGAGCCAGCCACCCCAGGGCTGGGGCCAAGCCAGCCCTTTGGGCAGGTGCCCCCCACCTTCCCTGGCACCCTCCTGGGCACGGGCAAGCCCCCCCCATCCTGCTTCCTGGAGGGGGAGGGCTACGCGCAGCCCCCCCTGCCCGTTTTTGGCTCTTTCGGCCGGTCGGGGCCCGAGGCGCTGGGCAGCAGCTACCAGTGCCGGGTGCAGGCGCTGAGCTTCTGCGTGAAGGAGCGGCCGTGCGGCACGACGCTGGAGCATCTCCTGGCCGCGGCCCCCCCGGCCCCCGCCGCCCCCCGCCAGCCGCCCTTTGGGGCCACAGGGCCCCGGGTGGGCGAGCAGAAGGAGCCGTGGGGGCCTGGGGGCACGATCCCGCTGCAGGGGGGCAACGGCTACCCCCTGGGGCTGCCCCCCTGCCTCTACCGGACACCCGGCATGTTCTTCTTTGAGTGAGGGGCTGCTTCACCCCGGGTCCCCCCGGGTCCCCAATAAAGCGCATTCCCCAACGCTGCCTCTGTGGTCTCTGCGCCCCGCTCGGGGTGGGCAGCGGGCAGGGGCGAGCTGGGGACCCTCTGCCCCATCCGGGGTGCTGCCCTCCTCCCCTCTCGTCCCTCCACTGGTGGGACGGTGAGGCCGTGGGGGGACGGGGCACGGCCTCACCCGCATCCAGCTCCTGCGTCGCCGGGAGATGCTGGGGACAAGGTCCTGCCACGACGCGGGGCCAGGAGCCCCCGACGGCTCTGTTGGGGGGAAGCAGGAGGGTACCTCGTCCATGTGGGGCAGGGGGACGCGCTGCAGCAGGAGCGAGCCCCCGCAGAGCCCTGCTGCCACCGCTCAGGGTGTCTGGCTTCGCTTCGGGGTGCCACACGTGGCACAACCGGCACCAGGCTCAGCCCTGGCCCCGCTCTCGCACCCACACGGTCCCAGAGAGGTGCTGGGGAGGAGCGGGGGGCCGGGGGGCTCTGCTCTGGTGGGGACAGGGCTCTGTCCCCTCTCCGCCTCTGCTTGGGGCTGTGCCAGTGCCCGGCTGGGGTCCCAGCGGGTCCCTGCAGACCCCCCCAGGCCAGGGCACCCCCGAGAGCCAGGCTGTGCCAGGGGCTGCAGCTGCGATGGGAACGGCCGGGGAAAGCGGATTCCTCCGACCTGAATCACGCCGGGCGGCTGCCGGTGAGGCGGCACCGGCTGAGTCACCGCTGCCAGCACCGGGCTGGGCACGGGGGCCTGTCCCGGCCTGCCGGGCTGGGGGGCACTGAGGGGGGTCCCCACACAGCCCCAGGCTGGGATCTGATCGCCAGCCCCTTCCCACACACCGCTGGGATACCCGGGCCAGCGTCTCTGCAGATGGAGCAGGGCGATGCTGGCAAAGCGGGGGGCTGTGCCCACGCCCCTACCCCCGTCCTGCCCACCCCAGGCTGGGAGAGGGGGGGACCCCGGGAGCAGCAATGCCCGGACCCCACGGCACAGCCAGCCCCAGGGTGGGCACAGCGGGGGGACACCGGGCTGGCAGGGGCTCTCCACGCTGCTGTGGGGAGTGGGTTTGCCACAGAACCCCCTCCCCGGGACCCCAGCTTGGCCAGTTCTGGGGGTGCCTGCGGGGGCCACGCTGGCACTGAGGAACGGCGCTGGCGTCACTCAGGGACCGGGAGCATCGCGGCCGCGTCAGCCCCGTTATCAGCCCCCAGACAGCCGCTGCCGGGCCACGGCCACGTCCCAGCCCTGGGCAGGGCAGGGGGGGCCACCCTTCGTCATCAGGGACGGCCACTCAGCCCTGGGCCTCTCTCTTCTCCTTTTTCTTTTCTTAATTTTTTTTTTCTTTTTTTTTTCTTTTCCCCCTCCCCAATGGAAAACAATATTTGAGCGCCTACATCATGCTGGCGTCTCCGGAGCGGCCGGCGGCGAGCGCGGCTGACCTCAGCCCCCTCCTTCGCGCGGTCCCCGGGGGCGCGGGAGGAAGCGAACGCCGCAGCCGTGCCCAGGGGCCGTCTGGTTCCCACGCAGCGCGCCCGGGCCCATCGCCCACCCCGGCTCCTGGGAACACGACGCAGCCCCGGCCCCACGAGCTGCCCCGGGGCTGGGGGTCCCGTCCCTCCCCCATGCTGGGAGTGGCGTGGCATCGCGTGGCACACGTTCCCCCCCGGGGATGGGGACCCCCGCCCCGTAGAGCCCGGCTGCCTCCACCGCCCCGAGCCACCCGCTCTCCCGGTGCTCCCCTTCTCCGTGCCCACCGCGGCTCCCCGGCCACCGGCCCGCCTCCTCCCCAGCTCGCCGTGGGTGGCCTGGCCCCCCGCCCGCTCGCCCGCTCCCAGCATGGGCCGTGCCGCAACTGGGAATTGGGCTGCACCCAGTCACGGGGTGAACCCGGTGCTGGTGGTGCTGGTGCCGGAGGTTTGCCCACTCCCCTTCCCGCCCCGCGCTGCCTGCGGGGCCCCTCGCCTGTGCAGGCAGGGGTGGGGTGCAGGCAGGGACAGGGTGCAAGCAGGGACGGGGTGCAGGCAGGGACGGGGTGCAGGCAGGAATGGGGTGCAAACAGGAATGGGGTGCAGGCAGGGACGGGGTGCAGGCAGGGATGGGGTGCAGGCAGGGATGGGGTGCAGGCAGGGACAGGGTGCAGGCAGGGACGGGGTGCAGGCAGGAATGGGGTGCAAACAGGAATGGGGTGCAAGCAGGGATGGGGTGCAGGGAGGGACGGGGTGCAGGCAGGGACAGGGTGCAGGCAGGAATGGGGTGCAAACAGGGATGGGGTGCAGGCAGGGACGGGGTGCAGGCAGGGATGGGGTGCAGGCAGGAATGGGGTGCAAGCAGGGATGGGGTGCAGGCAGGGACGGGGTGCAGGCAGGGACAGGGTGCAGGCAGGAATGGGGTGCAGGCAGGGATGAGGTGCAGGCAGGAATGGGGTGCAAACAGGGATGGGGTGCAGGCAGGGATGGGGTGAAGGCAGGGACAGGGTGCAGGCAGGGACGGGGTGCAGGCAGGGACGGGGTGCAGGCAGGAATGGGGTGCAAACAGGAATGGGGTGCAAGCAGGGATGGGGTGCAGGCAGGGACGGGGTGCAGGCAGGGACAGGGTGCAGGCAGGGATGGGGTGCAGGCAGGGACAGGGTGCAGGCAGGGATGGGGAAAGGCTGCTGCTCTGTGCGGGTATCCAAGGCTCCAGGGACTGGGGACACACGTGCACACCCCCCCAGACTGAGCCACGAGTCCCTGGGGGTGATGAGGACCCCCCACCGGAGGGATGACACTGGCTGCGGTGACCTGTGCTGGACCAGGACCAGCCCTGTCACCGTGACCGTTGTCCCCAGCAGGACCGGTCCCCTCCCCAGGACTTTGGGGGGCTCCTGAACCCCGTCTTGCCCCTTTATCTGGAGCGCAGGATGAGGCCACAACCGCTCCCATGGGTGCTGGCCCTGCAGCCCCACTCCTCCAGCCCTGATGGAGGCACAACGGGTGCCCCCCGTGGGGTTCCCGAGTGGGAGAGGAAGGGACTGGAGAAGCCAAACCGGGCTGTGGGGTGGGGGGGTCCCCCCCTCCAGGCTTGGGGCACCGGGATGTGCAGATGCCCACGCACGCACAGGGCTGCGTGCGGGAACCGGTCCCCCGGAGCAGTTCGGGGTGCCAGGAGTGTCGGGAGGGGGTGACGACCCAGCCAGGACCCCCGTGGGCCACCCCCACGCCGGGGCCCTGCAGCCCCCGTGGCCCGCCGGGGCCAGTGCGACGCGCGGCTCGCAGGGCCAGACAGGAAGGAGACGTCACCGCCACGGAGCGTAACTCAAACCAGATGGGGCCGCGCTGGCTTCCAGGCCCGCAGGGTGGTCACCGACAGGAACCGGTCAAAGGCTGCCTGCAGGAAGCGGCTGGGAGGGACGCCCGCGGCGGGACCCGGCGGCCGGGCCCGGGCAACCTTAACCACTTCGGGGCCAGCTGCAGCCCCATGGGGCAGAGGGGCACTAGCCCCCACCCCCCTCCCCCGGCCCATGCCTGGGCATCCCACCCCCCTTGGGCTGATGCTGAAGCTGGGAGGACACCACTGACTGACTCTTCATCTGTCTGTCCATCCATCCGTCTCATCCCTTCCCATCCCTCCATCCATCCCATCCATCCTTCCATCCCATCCCATCCCTCCCATCCATCCCTCCATCCATCCATCCCATCCTTCCCATCCTTCTCATTCATCCATCCCACCTGTCCACCCACCCATCCATCCATCCCACCCATCCATCCATCCATCCATCCATCCATCCCTCCATCCATCCATCCATCCATCCATCCATCCATCCATCCATCCATCCATCCATCCATCCATCTATCCATCCATCCATCCATCCCATCCCTCCCACCCCTCCACCCCTCCGTCCCATCCATCCCCTTCCATCCATCCCATCCCTTCCACCCACCCATCCCTCCCATCCCTCCATCCACCCACCCATCCCTCCCTCCCCCTTTCCCCCGCCACCCTGGGGTGCTCGGAGCCGGTCGCTGCTGCTCACCATGGGGTGCAGAGCCCAGACCCCCTCGGTGCTGGGGGCTGCACTGGCCGGGCCCCCTCCCCAGCACAGCCGGGGCCCCTCTCTGTCCCCACCACCCTGGGGAGCGGACGCCACTTCCCGCCCCCTCCTCACTTACCTGCAGCCCCCAGCCCGCGGCTGCATGGCCCACGCGGGTGGGCACGGGGGGGTGGCGAGGGGGCTGGGAGCAGCCCCCCAGCAAGCAGGGCAGGCATGGGCTGCAGACAGACCTGTACATTTATTTACAAGAAGGCGAGAGCCGGGCAGGACTCAGGCATTGGGCAGGGTCCCATGAGCCATGTCCCCTCCCCGGTGGGGACAAGCCCAAAGCCCCTTCAGCTCTGGCGGGGCCAGAGCCTCCCCCCCCCCCATCCCTCCCCAGGGTTTCTGCAGCAGGCGCGGAGGGCACAGGTGACCCTGGAGCAAACACACAGCCCTGGCTTGGGGGGGGGGGCTCGGCCACAGCGAAAGCCAAAGCTGGGGGGGGCAGGGGGGAGCCCGGGATCCCTCGCCAGCCCCCCCGGCCCCTCCTGCAGCGGGCAAGGCTGGAAGCTGCAAATCCCGGGGGATGCTCATCCTTCGGCAGCACCGGGGAGCCCCGAGGGGCGCAGGCAGAGGGGAGGGGGCTCGGGACGAGGCGGAGAACCGGGGGCAGCACATCTCCCCAAGCCCGGGCGGTCCCGGGGAGCCCCCCACATGCGGCGGGGGACGGGGGGGGGGAGCTGGCGGCCACAGCTGCCGCCCAGCAGTTCCTGTGTGTTGGTGGTCGGGGCGGGAAGGATGCTCGCAGGAGCGGGGGAGCGCGGGCCCAGCTGCTCTGCATTAGGCCGCCTTGCTCATTGTGATCTGGCGGGGACGGGTGAAGCAGAGGTTGTGTTTTTTCCCCCCGCTGGCAGAGCCGAAGGGCAGGGAGGGCAGGAGGAACACAAAGCCTCCTTCTTCCCTCGCTGGCTCCCAGCTGGGGACGCCGCTGGAAGCGTGCTCGCCGCTTCCTCCCTTCCTGTGCGAGCAGCAGCTCGGGGCCAGCTCCGCTCCCGCACGCCCGCCCGGACAGGGAGGAGGCGTTTTGGCCCCAGCTCTGGTGCCAAAACGCCAGGGTGAGGGTCCACGCCTGCCCTCCGGCATCCCCGTGCCAAGCCACGGTGCCGGGAAGGGGGGGGTCGGGCAGCTCGGGGGTCCAGCGCCGGCGGAGGCAAGGCAGGGCTGCAGCATTTACAGGCAGAGAGCGAGCAAGTCTTGGTAGTCCGAGGCAGCAGCAAGCGTGCAGGGTGTCCCGGGCTCACACCGGGCTCACACCGGGCTCACTCCGGGCCGGCTTTTTTTCCTCCAAGGCCACGGGAAGGAAGCGTGAGCGGAGCGGAGATGTTGCGGGTCAGGCATCGCGTGGCCAGGCCAGGGGGGAGATTGGAGACCACCGCTCAGGAGCAGCTTCACAGGCCGAGGAAATCCAGCTGGGAGCGTTGGCTTGATGGGAACAGGGAGGGGGCTGGAGCCCTTGGAGGGGGGGAGGGCGAGGGGGGTGCTGCCGGCATCCCCAGCAGCGCATCCCCGGCGCAGCGATGCCGCCCGGGGTGGGATGAGCTCGGCGGAGCGAGGTCCTGCTGCCGTCCAGAAGCAAGGCTGACGCGGGACCCTCGCAAGCGGTTCCTCTCTGGCCTCCACTGACACGCGGCTCAGGCTCCCCCCGGGAGCCCCCGCTCAGACGCCCAGTGCCGTCAGCGACCCCGAACTGGTGATCTTCTTGAAGCGGTTGGCGGCGCACACCCCGATGAAGTTTTTCTGTGAAGGGGGAGGGAAGAGGAGAGATGCTCATCCTTCCACGAAGGCTGCGGGGCCAGAGACTGAGCCAGACCCCGCTGCGGGGGCTGGGGAGGAGCTGGGCTGGGGAGGGGGGTGGGGGGGGAGGGCAGCCCCCCAGGCACCCATTCAGCCAGGCTATGCGGGAGCGGGGTGCAGGGCTGATGCTGGGGATCATCTGTGCTGACACCAGTCTTGCCCCTAAAAAGTGCTCTTGGGATCGGCCCAGGGAAGACCACCATGAAGGGGCCTGTGCTTGATGGGGGTCCCACCCTGGGGGGCACCCACATAAGGGGACCCTGGTGCTGGGGGTCCCTCCCTCCAGGCTCGGGGGGCCCCGTCCCTTGTGTCCCAGGTGCCAGCAGCACCGCGAGGCAGAGCTACCCCCCCACATCCCATCTGCCATCCGCCAGGACAGGCAGAGGCTGGCAGCGCCCCCCCCCAGGCTCCCCCAAACGACGTCCCCATGCCGTTCCTCCCCCCCCCCCCGCACCTTCCAGCGCCGCCGCATGACGTATTTCTTGAGCAGCACCTGGGACTTGAGCCGGCGGTTGCAGCGCTTGGCTTTTTCTGCCAGGTTGTTGAGCCAGGGATGCTGCAGGCACTGACCTGCGCTCATCCGGGCGCTGGGGGCGAGAGGAGCCCGGGTCACCCCGACCAACCCCTTTCTCCAACTGCCCAAGAGCCCCGAAACCCCCAAAACCTGCAGGGGAGGAACCAGCCAGGGGGGGATGTGCCCAGGGACCGGTGGGGCTGGGCAGGACCCCGAGCCGCCCAGGGAGGGACGCGGGGCTCTGCTGGGGACAGGCAGCAGCCGGGGCAGGGCTCCGCGAGGCGCGTTTGGTGCAGGACATCGGGGGCTGCTGCTGGTCCCAGCGCAGAGGGCACCCAGGGGCTGGGCACGCGGCTCTGGGGGTGCCCCCCCCCCCCCGACCCCCCCGGCTGCTGCCGGCCTCGCACCTCTTCTCCTTGATGATGAGGTTTGAGACGAAGTCCTTGGCCTCGTCGGAGACGCTCTCGAAGGTCTCCTCGTCGAAGTACCAGTTGGCAGCCAGGACGTTGTTGAGCGTCTCGGTGTCATTGTCACCCAAGAAGGGGGAGAGGCCGCTGAGCCTGGGGGGGGGTGCGGGGAGGGGGGGGGGGTGAGGAGCTGGGTGCCCTCAAGCTGCAGCACCTCCAAAACCCACCCCCCCTCCCCAGAATGAAACCAGTCTGGGCAGCGCTGCCCCAGGGTGGCCCCGAGGAGGGACGTGGCGTGCGGCCGCTGGCACGGCGCTGTGCTCCTGCCTGTAGATGTGGGCACCAGCCACTCCCCAGCCCCGCTCGCTGCCCCCCCAGCCCCCCCCCCCCCCCCAAGCCCATCGCCCCCTCCAGCACCCGGGTGCCTGGGGCACCTTTACAGCTTGGGGCCGGCTCCGTGCCCCGGGGGAGCTCTGCCCCGGCATCCCCGACGTACAGCATGTAGGTGATGACGCCCATGCTCCACATGTCCGTGGAGTAGGAAACCTGCTCGTAGTTGACCACCTCAGGGGAGAGGAATTCGGGGGTGCCGAAGTTCACCTTCAGCTTCTCCTGGGGGTTGTACCTGCAGCCGGGGCGGGGGGTGAGTCAGCCGAGGGGGAGACAGGCTGCTCCCCCCAAACCACTGCCCCCTCTCCCCCGCAGGCACTGCTCTCCCCAGCCCTCCCGTGCCAGCCGGGGAGAGCCAGGACCAGGAACCACGGCCAAAGCCACAGCCCAGCGTGGGTCCTGGGGCTCCCAGCACCCCAAAGGCACGTGGGGCTGAAGGGTGGGAGGGGGACGGGGAGGAGGGATGGAGCCGAGAGGGGAAGATGGCACCTTCGAGCCAGCCCAAAGTCGATGATCTTCACCATGTGCCCAGTGGCAGCGACGCAGAGGATGTTCTCAGGCTGTGGGGACAGGGAGACCATTGCCCCACCGCCGAGGGGGGACGTCCCCAGTGCGTGGGTCCGGCAGCCCACCCACGCCAGAGCCGTGCAACCCACGGCTGGCTGGTGTCGGGGACACGCTGCCCTCCTGGGCACAGCACGCAGCGCTCCCCGCTTCGGTGGCTGCAAACACCCGCTGCCCCCCGTGCCCTGGCGTCACCCCTGGCACCAGCAGCAGCCGGCCCCGGCCATTGCCCCCCCTCCCCGTCCCTGTGTCACCCCCCCCCCAGCCCCACACCTTGAGGTCGAGGTGGAGGACGCGCATGTGGTGCATGAAGCGGATGCCCTCGCAGATCTGCCGGACGAACACCATGCAGTCCACCTCCGTCAGGTGGTAGTCGTCATCGATGATCCGCTCGAAGAGCTCACCGCCCTCCACGCTGCGTGGGGACGGGCCGTGGGGTCACCCCGGGGCTCCCTGCCCCCCCCCCCTCCACCCCCCCGCCACCCTCCTGCAGAGCCCCCCTGCCCGCCCTGGGGACCCTGGCCCAGTCCCACTGGGGAGATGCTGGTGTAGGGGCTGAGCGGAGCCACAGCGGGATGTGTGCGTGCCAGGGTTCAACACCCCCACCCAAGGCAGGCGCGGGGAGGGGGGTTTTACCCCAGGACACCCCAATTCCCCTGGGGTTTGTAGGACAGAACAGCCCCATCACAGTCCCAGCCCCCCCTGGAGCAAGCTGGCAGGGGGAGAAGGAGCTGTTGGGAGGGACTCGGGTCATCTCCACCCTCAAGGCGATGGAAGGGGATGCTGTCCCGGCTGGGCAGAGCCCGAGGCTGCCTCGGCACCCAGAGTGAGATAAGGGGGTGCCCAAGAGGGGCTGGGTGACGTGAGGGACATTCCCTGGGGCCAAACCCTTTCTGCTTGGCGAGGGGCTGCCACTCCTGCTCCCCGGCTCCAGCGTCCCCCCGCCATGGTGCCCCTCACCCAGGCGTCGGGCCCCACGCAGCGCTGCCCCCCGCCCCCGTGCACTCACAACTCCATGAAGAGGATGATCTCCCGGGGCGTCTCGATGGCGTCGTAGAGCTGGATGAGGTTGCGGTGGTTCAGCTGGTTCATCACGTCGATCTCCAGCAGCACCATCTCCTGCAGAAGGAGCCCCACGGCAGCGCAGGGTGTCAGCCCCGGCCGAGCCACCGGCACGGGGACGGGCTGTGTCACAGCACCGGCACGGGGACGGGCTGTGTCACTGGTGGCACCGTGGCCAGGAGGATTCGCCGGCCCCGGCATCGCTCAGACCTTGTCCTTGGCACCCTGCTTCCGGATCACTTTGGCCGCCAGCTTGAGCCCCGTCTGCTTCTCCGTGCACGTGTGGACTTCGCCAAATTTGCCCCTGCGGAGGAGGAAAGGGAGAGGTGCCAACACCATCAGCCCTCCAGGCTGCTGGGGACCCCCACATCGCTCCGGGGCGCTGCCCTGTGCCACCCACCGCACCCATCCTGCCCAAGGCACCATCACGGCCAGAGAAGTCCCACTGAGCCAGGACCGTTGCCCAAAACCAGATGGGAAAAGCCAGGCGTGCCGCGCCCTCCCGGGGCCCCTCCTTACCCCCCCAGGATCTCCTTGGAGCTGAGGTTGAACTGGGAGCTGACGTTGGCAGAGCGCAGGGTGACGATGCGGTGCGTGAAGGGCGCTGGCGGCGGGGGGACGTCGTCTGCCCAGAGAGGAGGGCTGGGGTGAGAAAGGGGGGGCTGCCCGGCCGGGAGACTCCACCGCTGAGCACCCCCGGGGTGCCCCAGGCTGGGAGCGCGCCCCGGTGCGGGGTGAAGGAGGGTGCTCAGCAGCGCAGCCCAGCCGAGCCTGTGGGTGCAGGATGTGGCCAGGTACCGAGTGCCTGGCTGCACATCAGGGTCTCCTGGCTGCACATCAGGGTCTCCTGGCTGCACATCAGGGTCTCCTGGCTGCCTGCTGCACCGGGGGATGCAGCATCCCCGCAACGGGTCCCTCACCACCACCCAGAGCATTTCCCCACTGCATGGCACCCACCCCTGCTCCCCCCCCCGTCCCGCATGCCACGCGTGCCCTCTCCAGGCCACGCTGCTGCCTGTCACCCTCTCCGTGCCACCACGTCCCGCTCGCCCTTCCAGGAGGGTCCCCACGCCCGCTGCACCCCCACGCACCCAGTTCTGGAGCTGGCCCCCCCGAGCACCCGCTGCCCCCCGAGCTCGGGGCAGCCCCAGCCCTGCCATCCCTGCAAGGACAGCAGTGCAGGACACGGGGACATGCTGTCCCCTGCCACCAGCCAGACGGTGGCTGTCACTCCCCTGGCTCCTCTTCCTCCCGGGCAGCCCCGCTCGCGGGGACTTTGCCAGGCTGCAGCCGGAGCAGCCCGGGGAGGGGACGCGACGCATTTAGCCCTGTTTACAGTGAAACAGGAGCTCGAAGGCCACCGGGCCGGCAACGAGCCAAGAGCATGAGCTGGCAGCACGGGAGGGCAGCGCAGGCAGGGCCGTGGGGGACCCCGGGGCTGCCACCCCGCAAAGGGTCCCGGGGTGCGGGGACGAGGCAGGCACCTCCCAGCCTTACCCAGTATCTCAAAAGGGTCTTCCTTCCCAAAATCGGCGGTGAGGTAGGGGCTGGGGGGTGGCTCTGCCTCCACCAAGGACGGTTGCCCCCCGGGGCCAGGCTGCCCCACGGCACTGGGCAATGTCCTGTCCTGTGGGGGGCTGGGGGGCTCGGGGGGCTGCAGGTCCCCCGGGGGTGGCGGAGCAGGGCCAGGCTCTGCCGGACCCTCTCTCGGCTCCGCCGCTGTGGTCTCCTCCGGTATCATCTCCATCGCCTCCGCCCAGGGCTGCTCCCCCCTGGAAGCAGGAGCAGGAGGTGAGCAGAGCCCAGGCAGGAGCCCCCCCGTACCCACCTGCGCCCAGAGGGACCCGGGGCTCCCCGGGGAGCGGCGAGGGGAGGGCACCCCGGCCCAGGAGGGTGCGGGTACCTCTGGCAGGCGGCCGGGCAGCTCAGGCTCTGCAGCAGAGCCGGGCGCGGGGGCTCGGAGCCCTTCGGCTGGTCCATCTTCTCCGCCTTTGCCGCTTTCTGCCCTTCACCCCCAGCCTTCCCAGCCGCTGCCTCTGCGGGCTCCGCACCCCCACGCCCAGCCTCTGCTGCAGCTGGGGGGGTTTCCACCTTTCCAGCTTTCTTCCCTCCATCCTGAGCCCTCACAGCGGCCGGGGCCTTCTCCTTTGCAGCCGCTGGGATCTTCTCCTTTGCAGGCTCTTCTTTGCCTCCATCCTCAGCCTTTGATGCAACTGTGGTTTTTTCCACCTTTGCGGCTTTCTTCCCTCCATCCTGCACCTTCGCAGCAGCCGGGGCTTTCTCCTTTGCAGGCTCCTCTTTGCTCCTGTCTTGAGGCTTCTTTGCAGCTGGGATTTTCTCTGCCTGTGCTGCTGCCTTCTCTCCATCCTGAGCCTTAGCAGCATCTGGGGTCTTCTCCTTTGCAGAAGCTACAGCTTTCTCCTTTGCAGGCTTTTTATCAGCTGGGGTTTTCTCTGCCTGTGATGCTGCCTTGTCTCCATCCTGAGCCTTGGCAGTATCTGGGGCCTTCTCCTCTACAGGAGCTGCAGCTTTCTCCTTTGCAGGCTCCTCTTTGCCTCCCCCTTGAGCCTTTTTTGCAGCTGGGGCTTTTTCTGGCTTAGCCACTTTACTCTCTCCATCCTGAGCCTTTACAGTAGCTGGAGCCTTCTCCTTTGTTGGGGTTTTCTCTGCCTTTGCTGCTGCTGCTGCCTTGTCTCCATCCTGAGCCTTGGCAGCATCTGGGGCCTTCTCCTTTGCAGGAGCTGCAGCTTTCTCCTTTGCAGGCTCCTCTTTGCCTCCCCCTTGAGCCTTTTTTGCAGCTGGGGCTTTTTCTGCCTTTGTCACTTTATTGTCTCCATCCTGAGCCTTTGCAGCAGCTGGAACCTTCTCCTTTGCAGGCGTTTTTTTATCAGCTGGGGTTTTCTCTGCTTTTGCAGCTTTCTTCCCTCCATCCTGAGCCTTGGCAGCAGCCGTGGTTTTCTCCTTTGCAGGCTCCTCTTTGCCTCCATCCCGAGCCTGTGCTGCAGCCAAGGCTGTCTTCTCCACGGGCTTTGCCTTCCCTCCTTCAGCCTCCGCTGCAGCCGGAGCCTTCTCCTCCGTGGGCTTTGCTGTCCCACCACCCCCAGCCTCTAGCCCCCCAGGGGCTTGCTCCTTCTTGGGCTTATCCTTCCCTCCATCCTGAGCCTTGGCAGCAGCCGGAGCCTTCCCCTCCACGGGCGCTGCCTTCCCTCCTTTGGGCTCTCCTGCAGCTGGAGTTTTCTCCTTCCCGGGCTCACCCTTCCCTCCGTCCTGGGCCTTGGCAGCAGCCGGCACCTTCCCCTCCGGGGACGCTGCCTGCCCTCCGTCCTGAGCCGCCGCAGCACCCGGAGCCGTCCCCTTCCCAGGCTCATCCTTCCCTCCATCCTGCGCCTCGGTGGCAGCCGGCACCGTCCCCCCTTGGGGCTGAGCAGCCTGGGGGGCTGCCGGGGCTGCGCTACCCTCTGCTTCAGGGGGGGCCACGCCACCAGCCCCCCCAGCGCCGGGCACGCTGCCCGCCCCACCGCCCTGCTCCATGGGGACTCTCGGGGCAGGAGGCGGCTGCCCTGCGGTGCTCCCGGTCCGGCGAGGCTCCTGTGGGGGAGAAGACAGGAGCTGAGGGTTCCCCAGACCCGACACCCCGCAGAGGGGCACGGCGGGACGCGGGGCAGCCGCTCTGCTGCTGCGGGAAAGGGACGAGCCACTTGCCACCCAGCTGGGAGCCGTGGCCGGGCCGGTGGCACCGAGCCGGGGGGGGGGGGCGAGGCGGGGGGGGGGGGGTCCCATGTGGCCGCCGGTCCCTTGCGCCATCCCATTGCGCCCCGGGGATCTGCTCGGCGGTGACGGATCGACGGCCCGACGCCGGCACCTGTCACCGCCGCGGGGCCCCCGGCAGCAAACAGCCGGCGCGGCCGAGGTGCCAATTTAAGGCCGCGTCCCCCCATGGCGGGACAGGAGGCGGCGGCTGCGGCCCCAGGCCGGCGCGGCGGGGAGCAGGCGAGGTGAGCATCCCCAGCACGTCCCACCACCACCCGCCCCGAACCGCGCCGGCAGAGCCCCGGCTGCTCGGGGGCCACGCGGACCCCGGCCCCGGCTGCCACCAGCGCTGCCCGTTCCCCTCGCCCGGGGGGTCGCCGCAGCTCCCCACCCCGGTGGTCCCCGTGTACCTGCGTGGGCTGCCAGCACGAGCTGCTGCCCCGTCCCCTCCAGCCCAGCGCCTGTTCCCCAAATCCCTGCTCTGCCCCGGGCTCTGCTGCCGTCCCTGCCCAGCCACCTCTCCTCGCTTCGTCCCAAAACACCCTCCCCGTTCAGCCTGCGCAACCGTCCGGAGGCTGGGACAGCCCAGCCCCGAAATAAAAACCCACCAGGACCATCCCAGTGACATGGGAGTCACTTGCTGGTCTTTGGGACAGGAGCTACACGCAGTTCCCCGCCGAGCAGCCCCACAGCTCAGCGCGGGGACAGAGACGTTCGTCCCCAGGCTGGGGGCTCCCCTCTCCCTGGGACCCCCCCCTAACTGCCGTCCCCGAGCGGGCAGCCACGGGGACCCCCAGCCCCCGTACCTGGGTGCCGGTGTGAGGGCGGTCAGGAGGGCAGCATCCGCACTGCGGCAGCGCCCCGGGGGAGCAGCCTCTTCTATCCCGGGTGTAACGGAGCCGGATTAGTGCGGGCAGAGGAGGATCCCTTACAGCGGCGGGAGCCGTCCCGCTTCGCCTTTCCCAGCACCTGTCGCTGCTGGAGCCCGTTCAAAGGACACGCCACTCTCCCCTGTCCCCCCACGGGCCGGGGACACGCGGACACGGGGCAGGGGACGGGGATGCAGCCACCTCCTGCCCCAGCCCAGAGGAGGGCTGGAACCGGCCACAGCAGCACCCCAAAAACACCCCACGACGGTAGCCCGGCCGAGCTGGACGCGATCCAAGTGGCCAAGTGCTTCCAAGGCGCCCGTAGATGACATGAGGCGGCCGCTGGCCACCCCCACGGGGATGGTGGCCACCCCACGGGGATGGTGGCCACGCGCAGCCAGGGCCGGTGCTGGCTCTGCCCGCTGGTGCCAGCAGCTCCCCAGGACCCCGCACTCCACGAGCACAACGTGGCACCCAGGGGCACCGCTGCCAGTCCCTGAAGCAAAACTGACAGCAACTGGGGACCAGGCGCTGGCCAGCGGCCGCAGCCTCCTCCAGAAACCAGTTGAAAGACTCGTTTTCCGCAAAATGAAGTGTTTTGGAGAACAGGGAAGAAAACAAGGGCTCTAGGGGCTCCCGGAGGGGTCAGGCTGTGCCTGCTGAAGGTGCAGTGCATGCTGCTGGGGTGCTGCACCCCAAGGCACGGCCCAAGGGACTGTGCAGGGGCTGAACCCGAGCATGGAAAACCCCTGGGGAGAGGGACACCGTGTGCGGGGCTGCAGAGGGCACGAGCGGAGCTGGGTGAAGGCCCGGCCACGCAGGATCCTGAAGGAAGAAGGATTCTCAGTGGAGCCCCATTTACTTTAAATCTTTGAACCTTAAGGTGAGGAAAGCCTTGCTCAGCAAGGGCACGCAGACAGCTCGGGTTGCTGCTGGGGGAGGAGGGGGTGTGGGTTTGCAGGAGGAACCCCTGGTAACTGGACCCAGCCCTGCCAGGCAAAGGCACTCCAATAATACCAACTATTAAAAACCCAGAACATCCATTTATCACGTCAGGGCAGGAGGAAGGCCGGCACGGCCAGCGCAGTGGGGAGGAGGAAGGGCTCAGCCCCTCGCCTGCAGCTGGTGCTGCTTTTGGGGGGGGGGACAGGGGGGACAGAGGAGGCCACAGCTGCCTGACAGGAGGTAACGCAGCAAGAGCGGCTCATGGCGAGAGAAAAAGAGATGGCAGAGGCTGCCAGGCGCCTGCCCTGCACCAGGAATCCTCCTGGCCCCACTCCCCATCGCTCTGAGCGGTCCCAGCCGGGCACCCTGCTCCTCCCCGGGCAGCGCAGGGCCGAGCGCTGGCACTTGGTCAGGGACTGGGGGGTGGGGGGGGAGTCCCCCCAGGGCCAGGCTGGCCGGGGGGGCACCCACGGAGGCTGAGATTGCCACGGGCTCCTCCAGCCTTGGCCCCGGCCAGCTGGGTGTCTCCTCCCCAGCCCTCCGTCCCGCAGCCACACGGAGCAAAAGTGCTGCCAGACCCCGAGCCCCCGGGGGGCCGAGCTGAGCCGGGGCCACCCGCACAAGCAGCGGCAGTAGCCCAAGTGCGAGGAGGATGCAACGCTGCCCAGGCAGGGACACGGGCAGTGCTGCTCCACCTCACCAAATCCCAGCTCCCAGCGAGCCACCAGCTCCTGGGCACAGGATCCAGCTTTGCTGTGGTTCACGCGAGGCCTTGAGAGCAAAACAAGCCAGGGTGGGGACACGGCTGTGTCCCCCCGCCCCGTGCTGCTGCCCTGCCTGCCCCTGGCCTTGGGCAGCTCCTGGGGGGGAAGCGGAGGGGCCCGGGGCATCGCACAGGAGTCAGCAGGCAGGACTGCAGCTCTGCTCGCTGCTGCAGAGGAGACCACGAGTGAACAGTGCAAGGGGAGGAACAAAAGATCCTTCCCCCCCCCCCCCCCCAGCGCCCTTCCCCTGCCGTGGGGACGCTGCTCCGGCCTCAGGGAGCACGGGAGGGAGCTGGTGCTGCCACGGCTCACCCCGACAGCAGCACAGACCAAGGGAGCCTTCCCCCATCCTTCGCTGCAGCAGAACATCCATTTATCATCACGTCAGGGCAGGAGGAAGGCCAGCACAGTGTGGAGGAGGGAGGACTCAGCCCCTCGCCTGCAGCTGATGCTGCTTTGGGGGGGGGGACGGGGGAGGCCAGAGCTCCCCGACAGGAGATAACGCAGCAAGGCAGCCCGCAAGCAAGGATTCAGCTAAGGAGAAAGCAAAACACGTGGCTGGAGCTGCCTCCTCCTGGAGCCTGGTTAGTCCTGACAGCAAAACAGGGAGCCCCCGGGGCACCCAGCGCCTCAAGGCAAGAGCAAGGTTTGCTTGGCTGGGGGCTCCTGAGCAGACCCTGGGTTTTCCTGCTCCAGCCCTCGCAGCTCAGACTCAGCGAGCGCGACTCGGCGCTGGCCAGCCCCCCTCCTCCCGAGGTCAGGGGCAGGACCCGGCCTGGGACGAGAAGCGAGGAGGGGGGGGAACCCACAGCAACGGGCACACGGCTCCAAGGACGATGCGGGCTGAGGTTGGAGCATCCCTGGCTCTCGGGGACGGCGCCCCCCCCCCCGCCCCCCCCAAGCAGGAATAACTGGCGAGACGTCGTGCCTCGGGCGGCGGGGACTCTGCCCACCGACTGTCATCACCAACGTACAGTTTGGAATTGCCTTTCCCCTCCTCCAGCCCAGGGCTGCCAGGCATCTGGAGGCCACCAATGTCACTTTAGGCAGAGGCTGCCACCCTCCCGGCAAGCCCCGGGTGGAAGGAACCCACCCGCCCCCCCAAGCAGGGGAGCGGGAACCCACCCGCCGCAGCCCTGGCCCCCCCAGCCCCCTCGGGGCGGTTGGATAAAATTCCCCAAGGAGAGGTGCCTGGATGTCAGCCAGCCTTCCCGGGGCACTCGCAATCTCACCCGCTCACCAAGAGGCAGCGGTGGTCCTGGGGGGGAAAGAAGCCTCGGGACAAGGTGAGGAACCAAAGAGCTTTGAGGGGGGACGGCGGTGCTGGGGAGCCCTGGGGATGGTTCTCCAAAGAGGGGGGGGGGGGTGAAGGAGGAGTGTCCCGTGGTTTGACACCGTCACAAGACAAAATTCATTCACAGGCAAAGGGAAATAAGCTGAAAACGGGCCCCTCGCAAGAAGGATGGGTAGGATTGAAGGGCAAGAGCTGCTGCACACCAGGGTTTTGGATGCCTCGGTGCAAAAACCCACACGCTGCAGCGCATGGAAGCAAACCAACCGCCACCAAGGTTTCTCAGGCTGAGTTGTGGGTTTGTTTTTTTTGTTGTTTTTTTTTTTTTTTTTTTTTTTTTTTTTTTTTTCCCTCCCCATTCAGGAACTTAAGCCAGAGTCCACACTGGCTGCAGCTGGAAAACAGCCTGTCCTGGGGATATTTGGCAAAGGCTCAAGCACGCCCGTTCCCTAGCTACGGGGTTGTCACAACTTCAGCAGCACACTTTAACCTTTACGCTTTGCACGGGTAAGGGAGGCTGCTCTGAGCAGCCAAGCCCTGCCCGTTCTCCAGGAAACCCTACACCCCGTCTAAATCGAGTGGCAGGGCAGGCGAGAACAACATCCCCACCTGAATCCCGGCCATGCCACTGTCACAGGAGGCGGCTGCTAGCCTGTCCTGCTGAGGACCAACCCAGGCACACGGGCGGCAGCTTAACCGCTTCCATCAGCGCCCAGGACTTCCCCGGCCGAGCTGTTATCGTCCCGTGACGGGTCCCATCAAGGTGATGGGGAAAGACAAGGGGGGGGAAATCCCAACAACAGCAAAAGAGCTTCCAGAGCGACGCAGCAGCTCGAGGACAGCAAGGTGGCTGGCAGCAGCGAGCCCGGGGAGCACCGGGACGTGCCCAGGCACAGGCTGGCAGTGCCAGCTTCACGCCAGGCCAGGCCAGCAGCTGACAAGGTATCCCCCCCCCTCCCCGAGATGCTAAAGCTGTGGTTTTGAGAGCATCATCAAGCCTTTTTCCTAAGAATCTCATTCACCAGCTAATCAGGTCTTACAATGCTCAGCTGCTCTTCGACATAAAGAGTCCAGGAAAACTTCAGCTGCGTCTTAGTTCCAGCTCTAGTCAGAGTTCAGCAAATTACTTTGGTAACAACTCGCGTAGAAATGAATCAGAGGCAGATTTTGTACCCAGCTCCAGCTCTCCTCGATCACGCCCCTCACCCTCAAGGCACAGCTCAGAAGGGTGATGAGGTTTGAGTTCTTGAATGTTCAAGCACGTTTTTGCAAAATCCACACAGCAAGAATACAGATTTTTATATCACTTTGTCAACCTACCCTGACTCTAGAGGCATGTGCTGAAACAGCACTCGAGTAAATCCCGGTCTCCTGCTCCACTCCTGTAACTTTATTCTCCCACTTCTGCTCTACTGGGACTGGGGAAATCACCGGCCTCTCTTTCCCTGTTGGAGCCTTAGCAGAACCCCCGTTCAGCTCCTCCAGGACACCCATCTCTCACATTTCCTACACCAGAGCAGTTTCCCAGTGTTATCACTCCTTTCCTCCTAATTAAGAGGGCGGGTCACACCAAGCACCCAGCCTGAGAATCTGCTGGGTGACTCCCCAGAGCTCTGCCAAACGCCCGATACCCTTGCAGGGCATGGCAGCCCCAGGTTCCCTTTCACTGAGTTTGCAGTGTATGAGGAATGGAAGAGGCCGTGTTTGGGGGAAGAGGTAATAGCTTTTATTAGACCCAATGATACCGCTGGGAAAAAAACTGACAAGCTGTCAGGCATACAAACCCTTCCTCAGGTCTGAAGCAGAGGCCATGTAGGGCTGTCACGGAAATCCAGTTGCTCCATCCTTCAGGGATCGATATCTGCTCCAGCTCAGCAGCCTCGTTATCTTGCTTGCCTTCACATTCCTCTGCAGCTCGTCGCCATGCAGGCTTTCCTCTGACTCACCAGAAATATTTGCCACTCCTGCTGCCCACACGCTGCCTGCTCCGGGGGAGCTGCACTCCAGGTTGCAGCAGAGGTTTCCTTGACTGCACACCCGAGGTCCAGCCGTGTGCCCGTCCAGCAGATCACACGGAACTGCTCCACTGGGGCAGAAATAAGGTTAAAGCAGACCGAGGGAAAAATCTGCACGCCTTTGCTCAGCTCCTCACAGAACTTTGTTTTCAAGAGGAGGAAGCCCACCAGTTCCTCTTGCTCCCGTCGTTCCCGTACGCCAGACAAGCAGGTTTTTGGGGCAGGCTGTTGCTGCTGATGGCCCCCCCGTTACGCTCAGCTCAGCGACACGGGGCTGTCAGCAAAGGCAGCCCAGCGCGGCCGGAGCCATCCTACGTGTGACTGGGTCAACCTTTCGGGCCCAGCTCTGCCACAGCCACATAACGATCCTCAAGAGAAAGGAAAAGCTGAAGCTTTGGCAAAATGGAGCCCTTGTCCTCCAGTTCCTCCGTTACTAACTGCACAATACCTTTAGTTTTTTTTTTAAATAATCCTTATGTTTCAGTGCGGGTGATTTTTCTTTTTTAATCCAAGCAGAGTAGAAGTTTGAGGCTGTTGCTCTTCCAAGCACCAAAGTTCAGTACACCCACACAAAACGCTTGCTCACCGCTGGCTGCAGCTGCTGTTCTGTTAGGATATCCCTTGAGCACGGCACTTTCAGAATTCCTGCAGAAACATCATCCTCAGGTACAATACGTGTTTATCTCTGAATGTAGCTCTCTGAGGACTCTCTGACACCTCTCAGATTAGGAGTAAACCACTAGCAGTTGCTTGAAATGCTTTGGCAAGGGTGAGATAGTCCCTCACCATACCCCTCGGCTGGAGCCCGACACCCAACAGGTTTGAACTCACTCTCTTCTCCACCCAAATGAAAATCTGAATAAAAGGCCGCACACTCTTAAGACTACTTCAACGGTATCCAAATTCAGAGGAAATGAAAGCAAATGTTTGCCCTAACGCTCAAACAAGAAACAGTTTGTCCTACTATTAATTAATCCCATTTCCCATGTTTTTCCTCTGTTCAGAACGGCACAACAGCAGTGAGCAGCCCAGCTCACACCAGTTCCAGCAAGCGATAAAGGTAAGAAACCCATAAACACGGGAGAGGCAAAGCCTCTGTGTCTTACAGCCCTGAGAAGCCAAGCCTGCCCCGAGAGCTTTAAGCATTTCCAAGCCTGAACTAGAGACCTCGCTCTCATCCTTTCTGCCAACAGCCTCACACCGGGCGTCTGCCGCACCAGCCGTTTTTTGCCAGTCCCTTTGCGGGTCAGGAAACGGCACCGGAGGATCACCTGAGTTACCAGAACAGGTAACAGCAACAGACATGTCAGCAGGCAGCAGTCGCATCCCAGAGCATCGCTGGGGTGTAGTTGTATCCCTAAGCCCTTCTGGCCCTCACACGGCCTTTTGGAGTCATCTTTCTCGTTAGGACAAGTCCAAGGAAAGGCCTAAAACACAGTCTTAGGAGGTTAGGAATCATATCACAATGCTAAGGTAAGGAATCATATCAGTCTTAGTAAATTTTAATCTCAATTTGATTCTCTTCACAATGGTGGAAGTTTTGTCCTCCAGCACATTCGAGTGCTTGGTCTATATTTAGTTCTGCTAGCTGCGCTAGGCTGGCTTGGAGACGATGAGTCTTTGGCCAAGAGAACTGCGCTGGCAGGAGCCAGGGAGGCAGCTTACAGCAAGTCACTTGGCAGTTAAGTGGTTCCCCAAATAGAATGACCTCAGCTATAAAACAGCAGAAGGTTTAATGCTCTAATATACACAGGGAGCTACTTTAAAAAGTGTAGGCAAGATTCATATTAGCACTCATCTAAACATCAACAAGAAATGTCAGACCTGCAATATGCTGGCTTGCAGAAGCCTCACATTACTTAACACAACTCGAGCTTAATACAGACTAGAAGCTTAAGAAACACACTTGAAACCAAAACTCAGGTGTACAAAGACAAGGCAGCTCCTTCCAGACACACACATCCTGGTATGCTCGAGCGCCCTTCCGCAGAGGAGGAATGCGGCCCACTAGCAAGAGACAGCTATCAGATTAGGAATTTTTATTTAGTTCAGGTACACAATATTTGTATACAATATCAAAACCTGGTTTAGTTTTCAGAGAAGATGTCTAGATGTGAAGCAAGGCCATAGAGACTGTATGGCACTGCCTGTATGCTGTGCCTCAGCCACCTGCCTCATGTGGAGTTAAACTACTCAAAATAATGGAACTAAGTGCAGGAATTAAGACTGAGCAGCCACTTAAAAAAAAGTTTCCTCTCTGCCTACCAAGAGGGTGGAAAGGGATGGGATCTCCCTCCTACTATCATGTGGATGTATATCAGCACCGGAATCTATCCGAGAAGTTGGGAGACTTTGGCACAGTCAATGGCTGGTCACTGGACTTCACTTCTACGCTGCGGTATCTACGTATTGGGTTTGCTTTGTGAACCTGTAAAAAAAAAAAAAAAAAAAGAAGGACAAAATGAAGCAAACAGTTGCAGTTCTGGTCAAGCTGAAAATCACAGGTGAGCCATCGGTGAGATGAAGGCAGGCATCTGGGTACAAGACCACCAACACTGCCTGAGGCATTGGAGCAAGGCAGCGGGAACACGCGCAGCACGCTTTGGGGCTGTGGATTTCACAGAGATCATTCTACTCCAACGACTACACGTGTGCAGCTCCAAAGATCAGACATCTCAGAGCTGCCTTTTTTGTTTGGGTTTTGGTTTTGGTTTCCGAGTTTGGTTGTTTTTTGTTTGGGTTGGGGTTTTTTGTTGGTTTTTGGTTCTTTTTGGGGGGGGGGGTGGGTTGTGAGGTTTTTTGTTTGGTTTTTTTTTTTTTCTTTTTAAGATCAGTTGTAAAATTAGCAAGTCAGTTTGCAACATGGAAACTTGAAAAGACAGTCTTAATGCAGCTCAACACTGACGTTAGCTCATTTAGTATATTCACATATCCCTTTAGGTTACTTTACAGCCCTTGTTCAGAAATAGCTCGCTTACCATTTCTTGTCTCAGCTTTGCAACTTCTTCCTTTTCACGCTCCTCCTGTTTCTGTCTGACCTGTTCTTGATTCCTCTCCTTTACGGCTTCTATTTCTGCCAATCGTTTTTCAAATTCTTGCCTCTCTTTAGCTCTTTTTTCCGTTGCCAGCTCAAAGTTTTCAGGAACTACAGAACCAGAAAGGCTCTCTAAGTTTAGAAATAGAGGAAATAACATTGGTGCAAAGACAGCCAGGTAAAGCAGAGCAGTAAGAGAGTCAAATGGAAGCGTCCGTCTGGAGCGCTTCACCTCGCAGGGGTAGTTAGTAGATACCTCCAGGCTTCAGGAAAAGAGAAAGCCTTACACCCAAACGTGAGCAGTGCTAATGCAGACGTTACCCCAACACAGGTGTTCTCCTCGGAGGGAGCAAGCACACAATTGTTAGTACAAGCAAGTTTTTGGCTGGTTCTATACCCTAGAAAGCTTAGTCTACCCGAAGCTGTAGATGCCTTCATCTCATTAGAAACGGGAGGAAGAGACTGGCAGCTGCTGCAGAAATGCCAGCTGCCTCCACAGGGAGCTCGGGGCATGCTATTTACCCTTACCCCGAGCTGGCACACATCAATCAACCCCCAATTGTGGCATAGCTGTTAAATACAGCTGCCACGGCAGGGCAGGGGGGCAGAGAGGAAACTCCCCCGCTCCCTGGAGACACAAGCTGTTAGGGAATTAGTTGATTAAGTGCAAGGCACTCACTATTGGCTGTGGTGATAAAGAAGAGGCAACAGCCAGTCTAAACATCATTTAATTGCCTCGGTTCTGAGTTATCAGCCAACCCTGTGTAGCAAGTACTTTTAACTCTACCTGATAACAGCTTATATTCCTTTTTGGGCACAAAAGGCTCCTGGTACACCACTGTGTTGGGACGAGCTTTAAAACATGCTGCCTCTTTCTGCCTTTTCAGGTCTTCTTCAAGCTGCAAGAGAAGAGAGCCCATCAAGTGCCAGGCATAACAAAAAGACCATTTCCCCCTGCCCAGACTTCAGCACTCCCAAAGCCAGAAAAGCCAGGCTGACTTAGATCAAATCATTTGCATAGAAAAATCCTATTAAAGCCAAAAAATTGTGTCACTTGTCGCCTGCCAGTTACTTTTGCCAAAAAGAGCCTAAACAAAGTCTCAGGTGTCCACTGTAGACTTCACATGAGAAAAGCAGTGTAGTATTTGTGTGTCAGTCAATCCCCAAGCACAGAGATGGTCAAAGGGATACAGCTGCACCTAGTTGCTGCTTAGAAAATACCCCACAGCTGGTCATGCAGTTGTGGTAAATCCCATCACTTACCATAAAGGGAGAAAAAAACCCAGCAATCCACCAATCCTTACCCATCGCCCAAGCCTCCTGCCAACAATGGGATAACCCACTGCTCAAACTCAGATCCTGAGTCCACTTCAGAAAGTGTCCTGCCTGAGCTAATCACAACTCCCCCAGCTGCTTTAAGCCTGGTCATACCCATTACTCTTTTCAGCCTACCTGCTGTTTCCAGCTCTGTAGCTTGGCAGCTCCCCGTTCATCAATCTGCAGATTGAACGGTTCGGGCTGGGTTGTGGTTTTGACCTTCTTTTCTGGCAGCTTAACGTGGTCAAAGTAAGGCAGAGGTAGTGCTTTGAACTTTGGCACCTGAAAGAAACAATTTGAAATATTTCTTGCCCTTTCCTCAAAGGCATGAAGTTTTGGAAGTAACAGCCAACAGCAAGAGGCAAGTCCTGCCACACCCTTTTTATTTAAGGAATGGAATTCGAGGTAGCTTTTAGTTCTTACCTCTTCCTTCTGCAATTCTTCTATTTTTTTCTCTTTCTGTATTTGCCGCTCTCTGTCACGGGCATCAAAAGAGAAGGGGCAAACTTCCACATGCCTCTGTTCTGGCATTTTAGGTTTGAAGGGCACTCCATAATGTGGCATAGGGTTAGCTTTGATCACAGGCACCTCCTCTTTTTCCTAAAGGGATATTAGTGTTAGGACCTGACACAGCACCTGATTTTTGTAGAGAGACTACAACTCCTGCCAAAGCCATGAATATTAGAGTTCCTTTAATAAATACTACAGTTCCTTTAATAAGGGTCACAACAGCTTCAAGCAAACATTCTGGACACTGCAAAAATTAGTAATCCAAAGAGAACCAATTTACAGGCATCCTGAACCCCTGGCAAGTTCTTCCTCCTCCCAAACCACTATCAGCTCCTAGTACTCATCCAAATTAGACTATAGTTTTTTTAATGTCCTCTTCACAGGAGGGAAAGGAAGGAGGACATGAGACATTCTGAATGCCGCTCCCCACCTCCAGGGACCTAGCATGACTGCAGGGAGAAGAAAGGTCACGTGCAATGCCTGCCCTTCTCAATAAAAGAATAGGGAAGGGCAATGCCCTTTAGAAATCTAAGCAGTTTACTCCCCTCATTCATAGCAGCAACACCTCCAAAACCATAGTCAGTGCCCTCATGTTTAAATGGGGTTATTTCATTTTGTAGGAGAATTCAGCTTCTGTAAAATGAGTAGCAGCAACTAGATCGTTAGAAGGGAATGGCCCAGAGAAAGATGACCACTGCAGGAACAGGAGGGAAGGGGCTAATGCAACCAAAGCATCACACCCAACCGGCGGAGGTACGGCAGGCTGGCCAAGGCAGTCCCTGTGGTGGGACCAGATGGCTTGACCACAGCCCATTCACAACAGTTACCTTTTCTTCACCTCTGCTAGGCATTCGGGTTCTGCTTTTCAAGGTGAAGACTGGAGACTTGGGGACTGTAACAGGAAGCACTTTCTTCTCTGGAACACCCTGTTCGGAAGAGCCAGTAAGGAGTTACCCAAGCTTAAGGCCAAGAAAAAGCACCACAGACAAACAACCTGACCTAGCACAGTACGTACTCATTGCAGTTCCTGATGACAGACAGTGTTTACTGAAGATTATTAAATACATAATGCAACATAGCTACAGGTATTTTGAAGCTAACTGCCACCTCAGTCCTAGTTCCCAGGTTTGAGTATTACTAAACTTCTTACCACAACGTCCTCCAGGATTTTCGTTGGACATGGCCTGGAACGGAATTCAAAGTGCTCCTCCTCCTGCTGCTGCTTATTCTCACGCTCCTGAATCCTTTTTTCTACTTCTAGCTCAAAGCCAATGGGTTGCGTCAGTTTCTTCACAGGGGGCTTCTTGGGCAGGAGTGGTCCACCCTCAAAGATTTTGTGATCAAGTTCTCGTGCTTTGAATTTGTACCTACGCAGGAAAGGTGGAGATAGTCACCAACATACTGTACATGGCAAGATGCAGCTTCTAGCAAATGGCTCCTCTCAGAGCATAGAAGAGCAAGGGTCAGGTACAGAAGCAGTTGTGCCACACACATTACATCCTGTGCAGCTATAGTTATAGCACCTCAACTCCTCCTTTGCTTCTGAAACAGCAAGATGTTAAGGAATGTCTTATGGATTGCTGTCTTGGAAACCCAAAACTTTCTCTACAGGACTTTTGTACGCAGACTGTACTGCTATACTGGGTTTGCTTGACTAATCGTAAGCTGTACTCAACCCAAGATCAGCTCTCCTAAGAGCACTTTCTTCAAAGTGAGTTGGCTGCTTCTCACGTCCTTGCAGTCATAGCCATAGGATCATGCACAAGCTAGAATGTTTTTATGCTACTTATTCTCTTATGCAAAAAGGGTGTTCCTGACAAAGAGATATTTCGGCAGCTGAAACATATTTCCAGTGCAGTACAATTCCCTCTGGAAGGACTAGAGTAAACCTTTACTTACTGTTGAATCTTCTCAATTTCCTCTGCTTCTAACTCTGCTGTAGTTTTGCAGGTGACCGGCCTGAAGCGCTGCTTTGTTAGAAGCACTGGTGTTTTAGGGTGTGTAAGCCGAGCCTTCACCAACTTTCCTGGAACATGGCCTATAAATTCAAGTCACAGAGACCAGCAGTTAATGGCCAGGCCTGCAACAGACACAGACTGCTTGCTCAGTAATCAAAGCGTGGTTCTTGCTCTACCACCGCCTCCTGTGCACAGCCTCCTGGCTGGACACAGCCAGGACTGCTCACCTTCTTCAGATTTCCTGCTCCTCAGGTGGTAACGAGAGGGTGTACGTTTTTGGAATGCTTCTACCTGCTCAGCAAGGGACACATATTCTGATGTGGTTTCTTCGAGTTTTCTTTTGTTTCCCTGGGACAGATTGAAAGGTTTGGGGACAGTGGTGCCCTTTGGCATTCGCACCTGGAGAGAAAAAGCCACAGTCATTACGGCCATTTAACACAGGCTGCTTCGATGACATTTCCTTCCCCCACTGATTCACAGTATCTGTCACTTCTTTTTGAAAAGGGGATAACACTTAACATTAGAGGTAAGTCTTAGCTATCTGAACATGCACAAGCTAGTCAGATTGGGAAACTGTATGAAATGGAATATTAAAGCATGAAGCGTAATGACTGAAAAATGTAATATTAAAGGGCCCCTTTTTCCAAAAAGGCCCTTTAGAATCTTGTGGCAGTAATGACACACAGTGAGGCAACAGTTACATCTGCACAACGCTCGCCTCTCCTGTGGTAACCCTCTTGGCTGGTTACCAGCAGCACGTGTGTTGCAAAAGCAAAAAGAAAGTGATGTCAAGAATCAGCCAGCTGACTGCTGGCAATATGCTGGTTCTCACCGGAGAAGGAGGATGCTTCCTCAGTACTGCTGCAAAATCCAGTTCCTTGTACTCATTCACGGGCTGGCTTTCCACATGCTGTTTAATTCTATTGTCTGTGCAGAAGTGGAACTCAACTGGTTTTGTTACTTGATCAACACTTCTCTTCATAGGTTGTCCTAAAAGAAAAAGAGCATGTAAGGTCTGGAAGACTTTTGGGTGGGCAGGGGAAAGGCATTTACTTTCTAATAACTTGAACAGTTTTTAGGGAACTCATCAGCCTTTCAAAACATGACAAAAACCAAACTTGTTCCCAGGCAGTTTAGGGGCTGATCTACATTAAAAGCCACCTAATCCTAATACTTCCTACAAAATCTAAAATGTTTGTTTTTAAAGATATTTGTACAGCTCTATGCAGCACTCTCCAGCTGAGCCCAGTACAGCTTCAACTTGCAATTCAGCTAGAGCCCACCTGCTCCAGCAATAGCTGCTTTCAGAGACTCCTCATTCTTCCTCCGCAGCTCCATAACCTCCCGCTGCAACTGCTGCATCTTTTCCAGCTCCTGCTCCTCTGTACTCTTCAGCTTGCTGGAAAGATTGGTCCTCCTGCAGAAGCACATTAAAGACTGAGATATGCCTTCGTGCTTCACAGCACGGTGTTAGTGCTAAGGAACACGCTTATCTCTGACCTCACTGCAGAAGCACCATTCATTATAAAAAGTATATTCTTTAGAAAAGATCTGTTCGGATTTTGTTTGCTCAAGACAGCTTGCAGCTAACTGCTATCCTGCATGCCCATTTGCTGTATGCGTGCTTCATCCATTAGCAAAAAACCAACTTTTTCCTCAAATTGAAAGCAAAAGCTTTCCTTTGCAGTTGGTGAAGTACATTTCATCCTAATAATGTTGTCTTGATCTGGTGTTTACTAAATGTGATACCACCACGTGCTAAGTTGAACTTGAAAACACTCTAGCCAGGGCTATCGCCTGAATCAACAGTGATGAGCAAAGACAAGGCACAAGAAAGCTACCTACTTTAACATTGTTGGTGTGGAGGGGGTGGTCAGCTTGCTTTTCCCTCTCCCTGGGGAGAGGTCAGGATTCTGCAGGGGCTCAGGCTTTGTGGCTACTTCTCTCCGCTTCTCTCTGCTGCCAGAACTAGGGGAACAAGTTGTTACAGCAAACCACTCCAATTAACTGTGCTCTAAATGAAGGGTCAGCCGCAGCTCTCACCACCATGCACAACACCCCAACACCTGGTGAGTTCAGAGGTATGCCAGACTGGCCTTACCTCACCACAGGCCCAGATCGTCTAATTTTCCCCGGTACTCTAAGGCTGTAGAAGGAAAGATGAATTACTGAGTTTTTGGAACTAAGGCTTTTCTTGAGGAGGTAGGTGTACTGTAGTTCAGCTAGGTACAGCAGCGCTCAAAAGATCGGGCTTCAATTTCCTGACTTCAAGCTTATCACCATATGATATCTTAGCTGTTAAACTAATTTGAGAGATACTTTAGCTGCAGCTCTTTCATAGCTTAGGACTGCCTGATGACTTCCCGATGGACCAGTTAAGCCAAATTAAAAGGTGGCTGACAGACACTGAGTATGGAGTAAGAAGCTTAAGAAACACAAGCTAATTTCATTCATACCTCCACCTTCAAATAGAGCGTTACCTACAGGACTTACGGACATTTCTTCTTGTTCATGAAACCAGTATCAGGAATCAGGTTTTGGTCACCTCCCCTTAACCTTCCTGTGGTAACCCTCTTGGCCATGTGGAAATACTTTCCAAAGAAACAGTTGTATCCCCCTTCCCAGCCCCAAACAGGACTTTGATGACATACATTCTCATTTTTTTCAGGGGTGGAACCTCTTCCTTATTAACCAAGGCATTAGCATTTCTCTCCACTTTGATTCTAGCCGGCTGTTTGCGTTGGTGTGTTTTTCTCTGCATTGTAGCCTGTCTTCTACCCGCTCTAGAGCAGAACAGAAAAGGGACATTAGCTTCCCTACAGCTCTGAGAAAGAAGATACATGATCTGTAGAACACTCTTTATGTCAGGGCATCACCTAACACCCACATGCCCCCATGCAAATTGTGTGTTTAACGCAACAATCCAAATGCAGCATGAATTATTGAAGTTTAACAATCCATAAACTTAATATTCTTTGATACATGCAAGCATACCAAGCCCCTTGAATTCGTAGCAAGAATGAGTTCTGCCCAACTCAGACAGATATAAACAAAGACATTTTATAAGCCATTTCAGATATCCTCACATTCCAGAAGCTCCTAATGCTACCAAGCCTCATTTGACAAATATGTGAGACACTGTGTTACATGTCCAGCCCTAGAGATTGTCCCTCCAGCTTAGCAAGCAGATCAGCTGTCCCCATACACAATCTCTGTGCTGGAGAACTTCAGAGCCATAGGATGGCCCAAGAACTGCAGATCCTGAGAGCAAAGACCTGCTTAATTACACCGCCATCAATCTTCACACAAACTGAATAAAAGTATTTCACCTCTGAGAGGCCTCTGCAGGAGCAGCAGCTCTCCAGCTCGTCAGGGATCCAACAATATTCTGAGGAACCACGCTGGCCTGCACACTTTCTGCTTCACCGTCCTCTTCAGCATGGCTTTCACCTGAGAACAGTGACAAAGGTCAACTCATATATATATATACACACATATATACACACACACAGAGGCACAGAAGAATGGGAAAGTGAAACCACATGAGACCTTACTAGACAACAATATATGAAGATGGCCCCACAAAACCCAGACAGAGGCCTTTTCATTTTGCCAGTGAAAAGCACATAAAATTTATTTTCTCCCACCCATACCACATCAGCTTACTCATTGTTATTTCTTGTGATGTGACAGAAGACAGGATAATGTCAGGCTTTGAAAAAGCAGGGCTGTTCTGTGAGATCTTTGCCAGATTTTCTTCAGGAGGGACATTCTCCAGATTGGCTTTCTGGTCTGTAAGGAAAGAGAGACTTTCACTATACATACGTTAGGAATATTAAACAATACCTCAGAATCTTCTTATGATGTTAATAAAGCAATCTGTCAAGTTAGAGATGACAAAGTTTAAATGCAAAACCAAAAAACCCCATGCACAGTGAATGATGCAGTTAACAACATGGCTAAGCCACTGGCACAGAAGCCAAGCCCAAACCAAGCATCACACCAAGCCCTCAGCCAAAGAGAAAACAAAGCAAGGAGTTGATGCAGCTTACCAAACCAGGAGTCTGCATTGTGTACATCATCGTCGCTCAGAGTCGCAAAGTTGATGCAAGGGTTTGGGACGTCAAAGGAATAGCGAGATTCTGGGCGAGACATCTTCACCTTCACGCTGCCCCCGAGTCCTCCGCTTGCACCGCTATGGTCCTTTAGACAACAAGCATCGGTGACCTGTTACACCAAACCCAACGCAGGTGTCAGCTAAACTATTCTCCCCCTCTCTTCCTCCTCCCCCCTGTTTCTAGAGATGGGCGCTGGCACAGCCTTTGGTACATTTTCCTGTCGTGTAATTCACAGCCTTTGGCCAGAATGCTTCATAAGCAACGCAGGTTTTTTTTATTCTACTGTCGATTAAAAAAGCTAAGGGGATTTTACCACTGTGGACATTTGCAGGTTCAAAGCCATCAAGAAGAATCAAGTTCTTAAGGTTTTCTTTGTACCTGTAGGTGCTGGGATTGTGTTTTTCAAAAGGAAGCACAAAGTTTTTCCGGAGAGCGACTGATTTGCCCTTCCCTCCCTCACCATACACAGCAAAGCAGAGTCCTTACCCTTACCCGGGCACAGATTTATGAAGCAAGATGAGGTTGCCTCCAGAGCACTGCAAAGCACAGCCTTTCTCCCTCTGAGGGGCTACAACCAAGAACTAGCAACACAAACATGCTCTTCTATAGAGTAAATTGATTTTCAAAGCAACAAGAGAATTCTGTAGAGTATTGTTACTGGCCAAAAGCAGGAAGAAGGGCAGCGTAGGGCCCTTGCTGCATTCCATGGCACTACCCTGACACTGGCCAGGCTATAAACAAACCAAAGACTGTGACCATGTCACGAACAGTCCCTGCAGTTAATTAGTGGAGCACTGACAGCAGGAGGAGTCCCTGTGTCAACAGGTGATATTAAACTCAACCCAACAGGAATAAAGCCAGCAACAAAGTTATAAACCCTTAAACTGTAATAAAACCTTTTCGCAAAGGTGTTTTCATGCTTTCATGATGTCTCACACAGCTGCAAGGCAAAGCCCATGAGGATGTGTTATAAAACACTCCCGAAGGAAATCACCTGAACTTTGTTTTTATGAGTCCAATCAACTCTAAAGCAGCATATTCTTAATCCACAAAGTCTCAGACCTAAACCATCTGTCTAGGCAGACCACACATAGTTCAGCCCAGACAGTACGCTCCGTAAATAAGAAAATGTTCAAGAGCAAGTCACCAGCTCTCCCCCCTGAAGACGGCTGCGCCGAGAAGCCTTCAGTTCCCCAGCACAGAATTGCAATGGTTCAGGGGAACATGTCAGTAGTGAAGCATCAGCGACACGACCGTGAAGATGTCATGGTAGGACCCAAAGAAGGCAAACAGAAGAACTGGAGCCAAAACCAACTGTAACCGAGCTCAAGACACGGCAGGAATCGAATGCTTTCCTACCGCCCTTAATCAAGATAGAGTTTCTGTCAACACGATCCACTTTTTTAAAAATCAAATGCGTCATCTGCATTCTCCCCTCACCCTCCCCAGTCGGTCCATCGAGTTGAAGCTGCAGGCATCGTGTTTCACAGATACTTGTGTCCACTGCTATGCTGCTGCAGTTTCCAGCTTTTTACCGTGTAAAGTCCGTATCCTTTCACTTTGTCAGCAGCACCCTCATGACCGGCCTCACTGCCAACCCTCTCTCCACCTCCCTCCATTCCAGACAAAAAGCAAACAGTCATGAAAAAAAGGGAGCACATCAATGCCACAGTTTCATTCTTGCCAGAACCAGTGGGGAGGTAAAAGTTATTGTGACTGCACTCAAGAGGGTCTGTTTCAGTCAGATGAACTCACAACACCTGCTTTTCAAATCCCTACGTATCCTCCAAGCCCTGTGCAGAACTGGATTTGCTGTGAAGCAGCAGTTCACTGAAAGGCATCTTGCTCCTCCACCCGTCAACTCAGCTTGGGACTGAGCTCCCGTCAGTTAGGAGCATTACGGTGATTTATCACTGCAACATGCTCGCTGCAATGCTTCTGCAAGCAAAACAGGCTGGGCCAAGTACAGCCCACAGCCTGCGGCCCCAACCTTTGAGGCATTTTAAAACACCTGATGGTGATTTTGATGACAGAACCACCATTATCTCAGTCTTTTCTTTAAAGACAGGAGGCAAAATTCTTTCTCTCCACCGTGGCACTCTTCCACCAGAAGCAAGGCGCAAAAATTTCTTCTCATTAATAGGGATGTTACCTAATTAGCAGGCACTACGTGCATTCACCAGACCATGATTGCGGGCACACTGTAATCCTACATAACTACAGCGTGGATTTAAAGCGTAACCCTGCTCTCCCCCACATCCATCACCTCCTGTGTCGACACTGGTGCTCGCAGAGCTTCGCCACGAGCCAGCCAGGGAACCCTCACTCCCGTCCTGCAGGATCAACTTTCATCTGGTTCATAGAGAGCTGCTCACATCACCGCTGGTGCAAGAGAGAAGGATCCGGTCCTCTCCTTTCAAAAACAGCCCAAATTCCTTCAATAAAAGTGACTGCCCAACTAAAACCTTAATTCTCTTTCTAGGCCCGCTCCTGTCACTGACCTGAACGTGCCTCTCAGCCACAGCCCCATACAGAGCAGCACAACCGTATCCACAGGAGGAACAGACAGCAGGTTTCGCTGCACATCAGGTTTCTTTTGAGTAACTACACTTTGGCACGTTCCAGAAGAGTGCCTTGGCCAGGTTTAGATTAGTTAGCTTTGAAAAAGGATTAAGCTAAATTGGAACAAGCATTCCTATCCCAGAATAAGACTGATCCAACAGCAAGTGCAATAGGTATTTCAGAATAACTTCACACCTCACTCTAATCCAAATTAGCTTTAAAATTCTGACACGATTCCATCGCAGATGTGCTCAGATTCTTTTTCTCAATGCAGCTGTTAATTTATTGCCAAAAAACATTTAGCCTGGACAAGGCTGGAGAGGAGTAACTCCCAATAAGACCGATGCAGAAGAGGCCTAGCTGCAGTATGCAAAATTCGGCACTGGCCACATCCTAAGAGAGCACTTTGCAGTTCCGACCTAACCACAGGAGACTCTTCTTTTTAGAGCAGCAACCCAGCAGGGACTGATGGTTATCGGGCCATACAACAGCACCCACTGCCTGGGACAAAGGACCCTCCCAGCCGCACCTGCCTTTGTGTTAGAGAGAGGAAGCGGCTTCCCAAGACGAGAAATTAGAGGTCAGAAGGAAAGAGAATGGAGGAGTTTGGGGGAGCAGCAAGGCACAAACAGAAAGAGGGTGCAGAGAAGATCTGCTCTTTCTTGCCAGCTCACAATGTAGTTAGATAAGCCCCTGGTCAAGTTGAGACAACACCTTATCACTCAATACACCACTGGAGCTTCATAAGCTACAGCTGTTATTTACTCCAAATCCTAACAGGATCAGAAAGCAAGGAAACAAAAAAAAAGTACCAGATACACAAAAAGGATAGTCAGAGTTACATCAGCAGATAAATCCAAAGCCTGTTGATCCACATGCCTCAAAACCCAAGATATGCAATCAGGAATAAACCAGAGAAGCTCCCCCAAGGCTGAGGAAGCTGCAGGGCAACGTGTTGCAGTAATTCCAGTGCCTTCTGCTGGGCGTTCAACACCGACTGCTATTTAAACACAGGACACTGCACTAACGAGGCAACTTGTTTAATTCAGCCTGGCAGCTTCTTTATTGTCCTACAGTCCAAAGCTTTCCATCCCTTTTACAGGGATGATAATCCAGACAAAGTACCCAGATGCTTTTTGGCAAAATGTAAATTTAATGTAAAATTCAGTAAATTGGACTATTTCAAGGGGCTGGAAACCACCTCTCTCCAGGTACAGTCCTGTCACCACAGCCATGTCGGAAGCTATCCCACCGCAAAGCCACCATCTGAACTCCCTCAGCACAACGCCAGCAACCACTAAGAGTCATCCTTGCTGTCCCCTGAGCAGGGTTAAGTGAACACTTTTAACAAATTCCAGATCTCCAGCTTCTCCTTCCTGTCTGGTGCTCCTCACCCAATGCTCAGGCATGCTTTTCCACAGCACAGAGTCAACACTGAATTTATTATTCTGAGTACAGAACCGAGGCAGCGCTGCTGTTCCATCATATAATACTCAAATTGGGAGACAAAAGCCTTTAACTCCAGGCAGGCGAGAGCTCAGCACGCAGAGAGCTCCCCAAGCTGCCATCATGAGCCTGCAGCAAAAGGAGGAGAGGTGCTGGAGCAGCAGCTTCTCTCCCAAGCAGCCTTTGCTCTGCTGACAGCCCAGACCCACCTCCCTTCCAACAGCCCAAAATAAACAGCCTTGACATCCCATGCTCCATAAGTGAGATCCCTCAAGTTTTAGAGGACATGAAGATGGGACATTCTAAGAATAGGATGGGTCATTCTAAGAATGTTCAAGGAAAAGTAAATTATTTTTAGCCAGTATAACCTCAGTTTGTTGTTAGATTAAGTTGAAGCTCCTATAGTTTAAAAAAAGCCACCTTATAAAAATAGCTAACAAAACCTTTTCTATTACTTAAGACAGGTTTTGCCTGGTTTTCTTTCCTCCTTTCCCTAGGAAGGATTTGGTTTGAGAATAACATCATTTTTCTCAGCTTCAAAATTAAGATGCACGCATCAGGTTGTGATCGGTGAGTGTGAATGGTTGACACTGCAGTGGGCAGCGTGGTCCACGCTGGCATTAGCGCAGAGCTCTAGGTTGTATTTTATGGTGAAATAAATACATCGTTTCATCACGTCGGATGTCGTGGTGGTTTGAAGACTCGCAGCTCAACGCGCAGTTTTATTTGTACTCACGAAGCTGCTCCCCCGTCCTAAGGCTCATTTCAGCGCTTCCAAGGGAGGGAGCCCCCCGCCACGGCGGCTTCGCCCACCGCCGGCTGGTCCCAAGCTCCGGCTCCTTCAGCCCCACGGACACGAGGGGTTTGCAGTGACCCCGCGGGGATTTAGGCCCACGCCGCGGCGCGATCCCGCCCTCCAGTCACCGTAAAAGCGGCCCCGGACGCTTCCTGCCTCCGTTTTCCAGCCGCGCCCTCCGGCCTCGCAGTGCTGCGAGGAACCGGGGCCGCGTTACCGGGCGGTGGGCTCGGAGCGAGCCCAGGGCCCAGCCACGTCCCCCACAGCCGGAGAGACCCGGCCGGAGCCCGCGGGACGGCAGCGGCCCGGGCCGCCGCTACCGGACGGCGCCTACCAGGGAAGGGGGAGGAAAGACGATGACGAAGCCAACAGCAAGGAGGAACCAGCCGGTAACCGGTGCCCGGTAACCGCCGCCCGCTCGCACTCACCTCAGCACCACAGCCGCCCTGCGCGGCGTCTCCGCCCGCCGCCGTTAACGGATTTCAAACGGGACGGGTCGATCCGAACCAACCAATCAGCGCCTGGACCACGCCCTCGGGTGCGAGATGATTGGGCAGGCCGCCGGGAGGCCAGGAGAACCCGGATGAACAAACGCCGCCCCCACGCACGCGAGCGCTGCCCGCAAAGCCTGACGGGAAACATGGTTTCCAAGCGCGCAGCAACCCTCCCTCAGGACGCGACCGGCAAACTACAACTCCCATAACGCACTGCTCTGGGCCCGTCCGGCCAATCAGACGACGCGACGCTGTGTGCGTTGTTTGGGGGCGGCCTATCAGCTGCCGGTAGGCGGGACCCCCGAGCAGGGCCGGGCCAGGCGGTACCGGTAACAGCGGGAGGGAGCCCACCGGAGCCGGGGCTTCGTACCGCGGACTGTATGCTACCAGCTCCTCTGACTGGCCGGACGCTTTCCACCCGTTTTTACCGCCCAGCGCTCCCAGTAAGCGCAGCCAGCCTCCTTGCTGCCGGGGGGAAAGCGCCGGTTAAGCACCATCAGCTCACAGCCCTGCCGCACACTGTGGAGATACCACAAAGGAAAAATCAATTTTTTTTTTTTAAAAAAATCAGACGTTAAAGCGCGAATTACCGTGAGGGGACGTACCCCGCGGAGTCGGCGGCCCGCAGCCCCGGCGGGAGCCGACAGGGGGCGCCAGAGTCCCGCCCGCGGACGGGCACCGAGCGCTCTGCGCATGCGCCGCCCCCGCTCCCAACCGCCGCTCCCGCCTCGTCCGCCGCGCGCACGCGCGCCGCTCCCCGCCCAGCTGCGCGCCGCCCCTGCGCATGCGCGCCGCTCCTTCCAGCCCGCACCCCCCCACGCACCCTCCCGCACCCCCCCCCGGTGCGGCCCGGCAGCACGGCGGCCGCTGCGGAAGGAGCCCGGGGGCTGCTGAGCGTGGACCGAGGCCCGGCGGGGCTCCCGGCGACGCCGCCAGCGGGGCAGGGGGCGGGAAGGACCCGGGACCCTTCCACCGGCCGCTGAGGTGAGGGGCGGAGTGGGGCAGGCCGTGAGCGACGCGCGGCTCGGCCAACGGGAGAGCCCACCGCTAAACCCCCGCCCCCGCGGCGCTCTCCCGGCGGCTGATTGGCTGGCCGCTGAGAGGCGGTGCCGTGCCTGCCCCGCGCCCACCGCCCCGCCCCGCGCGGGTACGGTGGCCGGGCGGCCCTCCCGCCCGCCGCGCCACCGGCCCGGCCCCGGCGGCAGCGCTGCCAGCCGCACCGAGCGACCGGAATCCGTAAGAACGCAGGGCCGGGTGGTGGCAGCGGTCGCCCCGGTGACAAGGGCGAGGAATCGCCGGTTTTCGGCTTTTTATCACCTCGGCTTTCCGCTGCCGGTGGGCTGCGCCGCGGTTACCGTCGAACCGGGCCCCGCACGGGGCTTGCTTACCATCCCTCGGGCTGCGCCGCCCGCTTCGCTGCCGCCGGCCGCCGTTGGGCAACCCCGGCGGAGGGGGCGGGGGGGAAGCCGGGCCCTTTAACGGGCGGGGCGGGGGCGGGGCTGCCTCCGCCTCCGCGGCACTCCGGGACTGGCGGAGCGCGGCCGGGCCGGCCCGTAGCTCCGGCAGAACGAGAGCCGCCTCCGCCCTGGCCCGGCCCGCAGCCGGCCTGCCAGGCGGTGCCCGTACCCGGTGAGACCCCGCGGCTGGGGACCGGGGGGCTGCTCAGAGCCAACCCGGGGGGGGGGGGGGCCCCCTGCGGCTGGAGGTTGGGGGGAGGTGTTGCCGTCGGTTCCCTGCGCGGCTTCAATCCGGTGGCCCTGAGTCCCCGCATAAAGCTGCGGGATGATCTCGGTCTTACCGATGAGGTCTTGGGGGGGGGGGGGGCTCGGGGGCATGTAAAAGCTGTGGCGTTAACCGTTTCTTTGCCTCTCTCCTCCTCTGGTGTTTGTCTGTGCAAAGGTCAGATGTTCCCATCGGTCGTGAAGAGGAGCGGAGCTGGGACCTGCTAAGTGCTGATCTGCTTGTGCTCTGGACCATGGACTCATTGAGGGTGTCCCAGGTGTGAAAATGTCCAGCAGTAACCGGGAGTTAGTGATTGACTTTGTTTCCTACAAGCTCTCGCAGAAGGGATACAGCTGGAGTCAGCTGGAGGAGGAGGATGAGAACAGGACTGACTTTGCAGCAGAGGAGGCCGAGATGGACGGCGTCCTCAACGGGAGCCCCTCCTGGCACCCGCCCGCCAGCCACATAGTGAACGGAGCCGCCGTGCACCGGAGCAGCCTCGAAGTCCATGAAATCGTTCAAGCAGCCGATGTGAGGCAGGCGCTGAGAGAGGCGGGGAATGAGTTTGAGTTGAGGTACCGGCGGGCTTTCAGCGACCTCACCTCCCAGCTCCACATCACCCCCGGCACGGCGTATCAGAGCTTTGAGCAAGTAGTGAACGAACTCTTCCGCGACGGAGTGAACTGGGGTCGCATCGTGGCTTTCTTCTCCTTCGGAGGAGCCTTGTGTGTGGAGAGCGTTGACAAGGAGATGCGGGTATTGGTGAGACGCATTGTATCTTGGATGACCACGTACTTGACCGACCACCTAGATCCCTGGATCCAGGAGAATGGCGGATGGGTAAGAGCTCCTTGCCCCGGTGGGGGTGGCTGCCGGTGTCCTCCCTCGCTCCAGGCTGGCAGTGGTGCTGGTCAAACCGGTGCACAGCTCCCTGCAATGTTTATGCTAGCGCATGTCCTAGACCTTGCAGGGAGATAAAAGGGCCCGTGGCCTTTCCCTCTGTGCTCTGCCCCAAGAGGGTCGGTCCACTGTGATGACACAGGCAGTTTATGCTCAGGCGTGTCCTTCTCCATCCCTGTTTCTTCTCCTTCTCCCTGGATGTTACGTAAAAGACATATTTTTCCAAGAGCCTTTGGAAATCTAATGTCATCCAAGCTTGTTCTTCAAGCGGGAGCCCTCGCTCTCAGGCATGTTCTTGGTGTCATTTAACAGCAGGGAGTGGAGCTTCCTCCTCCCCGAGTGTGCAGTGCTCTGGCAGGCCGGCCTGCGGTCTGCCGGGTAACAGCTACTTCTTCATTCTGGAGACAGGACTTTGCCTTCTGCTGTGCTCACGGTGAAGTGAATCCCACAGCAGATCCTGGTGGGTGGGTGGGTGGGTGGGCTGCTGCGCCTGTCTGAGCTGGTGCGGTGGGAGCCAGGGCTGAGGTGGGGGCAACCTCTGCGCTGAGGAGCTGCTAAACCTGCAGCTGCTTTTTGCTTGGCAGGGAGCAATGCTCCCAGCTGCCCCAGCAGCAAACCCTGTACGCTTTCAGTGGTGAGGTATTAACATGAATAAGCATTTCTTCAGGAAGCATTCTTGAAATGCCGGGTCCGGCTGTGCCGTGCTGCCTGGGACTGCCGGCGGGAGGTATATGACCTACAGATGTCTGAGTTTTCTTTTTGCTTTGCATCTTAGTGATTCCCTGCTGGTGTAACCTTTACTGGTGCCCACTATAAAGAGTTCACGCAGTCATTTGTTAGCATCTAAACGGTGGGGAGTTGCCTTGCTGGGGAGCTAAGGCCTCTTTGAGCCCTGTTTGTCTCGTAGTCCATCAGCAGGCCCCTGCATCTCAAGAAAGGGGCAGGAACCTTTGAGCCCAGTGCTGTGCTCTGCACCCTCCTGACAGAGGAGAGGCCCAGGAGCCTCGCAGAGCTCCCCAGCTCCTCGCGCCTGGCTGGCGATGCTGGGGACCCCGAAGAAAGGGACCCCAGAGAAGATGGGGAGCTGGTGCACCCAGGGAGAGGGAGCGGTTCACCCAGGGTGCAGGAATCCCTGGAATGTGGCCGCCCTGGGGCACTGCCTGGGTGGGGCCGCTCAGGCAAAGGAGCTTGGTTTCGATTAATAACCCGGGATCTGCTGGCCATTTCATCAGGCTGTATCTGGCCCATTAGCTCTCTCATCCTGCAGATAACCCTGGCCAAATGCTGAGTTCCTTCCCCCTCCCTCTGGCTTTGGTTTTTAAAGCCACAGATTAGTCTTGGAATTGAGTGATCAAATTGAGGTTTCCAAGCTAGTGTGGCTGTTGCTGTTAGTGACGGATTGGGCTGTATCCTGGAGACCTAGGCGATAATGCAATCTGATTTTTTGTAAATGAACTCTCTGGGGGATTTAGATTAAATCACTGGTGGAAAATCACTGGTCCCTGCTTGCGGGGAATGAAATATCTCCTCCCTCTGTTCCCCACCCCCAGCCACCATGGTTAAGACTCTTCAATTTTTTTGTGTCTGTCTCTAAATTCATTGTTTGGAGCAAATATTTGTTCAACAGATTGCAGAAGGGTCAGGATTCCTCTCTATCTGACCCGCCCACCAGCTCTCGCTTTGAAGATCGCCGTTAGCCATGTTTCCTACCCAAGGGGAACAGCCTTGCTCTCGTCTTCTAACCTTGAACAGGGTTTCTAACTCCACCGCCTGGGCTGTGCCGGCAGCCGAAGGGGAGCTGCCGGGCAGGCTGGTAAAGGCCGTAGTGGGGCAGATCCACCCCACCAGCTACTAAAAAAAAAAAAGGGCTGTGCAGTGTGGCTGCTGCCAGCCTGTTGCAAACCCCAACCCAGTGCTTGTTTGGGGTTTCAGCTGTAGCTTCCCTGTGCGCTCAGGTTTCACCGCATCCCTTCTCAGGGGGGACAGCTTCTTGGGGGGAAGCAGCTGGCAGCGCAGGGGCCGTAAGAGCTCCCGAGTGCCTCATGCGTGGGGATGCTCTGCTTCGCTCTCGCACGACTCCAGCTGTGGGGAGAAAGCTGCTGGCCTGCTGCCAGCTCTCCCTGCAAGAGGAAAGTGCCACCCTGCACTTGCTGTGACAGAGCAGTCCCTCTCCTGCTGCCCTGTTTGCCCAGGGAGCCCGTTTGGTGCATCTGAGCTGTTAGAGCCCATCCCACGCAAACAAAGCTCTCCCGAGAGGTGCAGCAGGCAGGTCCAGGTGAGAGGGATGCAAGTTCTGGCAGGCCTGCTTGGCAGGGACCAGGTAGTTTGTGTTTTGGAGCACGGCAGCACTTCTCTTCCTGGAAAGCCCCTCTGAAAGAGGGAAGGAGCGTGGCTCCATCACAAGTGTTGCACAGCCTGGTTGTGTAGGAAGTTCTGTTTCATTCCCCACCAGTGGAACAAAAGCAAGTGTAGGATGGCTGTGGGGTGCAGGTTGCCTTTGGAGGGACCTGTTAAGGCTGCTGTCTGCTGGGCTGGAGCAGTTTTCTTGAGAAACCATTCTTTGAGGTGAAGGGGAAATGGTAAATCTTGCTACACAGTGTTAACACGGGTGTATTTTGTCACATTTACTGGCTCTGCCTTGGTTTGCCCTTCTCTCCGCAATGTGGCACTGAGAAAACAAACAAACAAGAAGAACCCAAGTGGGGGCATTTAATAACTAATCAGAAGAGAGCTGCTTCCTCAGTGAACCATCGAAACCAAAGAGGAGGCTTTCCTGGGACAGTTGCTTTGGCCAGGACCAGATTCCACGGGCTGTGAAGTTCAAACAGTGATCCCAGTGGGGATCAGGAGTTGGCAGGGAGTCGGGGAGAAATCTGGTGAGGGGCAAGCGCGGGGTGAGCAGGAAAGAGCCTGGCAGGCAGAAATGTACTGGCCGTGCTTAACCTGTTTGAGAAAGGAAAGTGAGCAGTAGTTCCTCCTGGCTGTGACCCTCCAGTGGATGACAGCTTTTCCTTCGAGGCTAAATCTGCGTTCAGAGTGGGATTTGAGGAGGGTGTTCTGTGGGGGCTTGGAGGCAGATCTGTGGACATGGAGGCAAGAGGTTTCCTGTTTGCGGGGTGTGTGGTGGGGACCAGCACGAAGGGGCTGTGTCAGGCCAGGACTGAAAGCATCTTTGTCACCAGTCTGACGCATCCGAATCCTGAGAGATTGGGCTCAGCTGATGGAGGATGGACTGTGTCCCATGGTGGTTCTGCGTGTCCCAGGCTCTCAGCTGGCCCCGGCCACGTGGGGCTTGGTGTGCCGGGACGTACGTGTTGTGTTGCTCTGCGGTGGACTGGAAGCTTGTGGTTCTGTTTGGGGAAAACCCTTAAAAGATGTCAATATAGCAAACTCATTTTCTATCTCTTTAATTTTTTTTCTTGAATGATAGGAAATGACTCAGCCTGTGTCATATGACAGAATGCAGCTGGGATTTCGTCCTGTGCTCGTGCTCCAGCCTTCTCAATGGTTTCAGGTTGAGAGCTAGACTTTGATTCTCAGCTCTTCAGAAATGCTTTTTAGCCTTGTGCCATTGACCAGGTATCCCACGCAAGCCTTCCCCGCAACCACCACATTATCTAGCTGATCCCGGGTGCCCCAGGATCCTCGTGCTTTCTTAGGTGTTTGGGCAGTGTGAGATAAGTGCAAGGTTGAATTCTGCTGCTGTTGTGCCCCGAGGAGCGCCGTGCTAGGGGCGCACAGCACGCGTGGAAGAGGCACAGCCGTGCGTCGCACCGTGTGGGGAACGCGGCTCCCTCTGGGGTGAGCGCTCTTTGCCAGAGCTCTGCCATTTTGAGTGGTGACACGTTGGGGTTTGGGGGTGCCCCGGTGCTGCTGATCCCACTGGAGATCACAGCCGTCGGTTTCACTCGCTGGCCAACAGGCAGCAGAGCTGGCCGGAGGAGGCGACTGTGGATAGCCAAGGCCACACTTCACTGTCTTAGAGATGAATCCCAGTCAGTGATCTGCAAAGCTCAGCTGGGCTATCGCTTTCCACTCTGTCCTCTGTAATTATTTTACAGTCTGGATCCCTCACAGCTGAGATGATGCCCCCATTGTCATCATCTGCTTTCCTGCCAGCTGAGTCCCCTCGTGTCCCTTCGCATACCGGGTGTTCTTCCCTGGCCGTGGGAACTGCCTGCCTGTCGCTGCCGCAGGGTCTTGGCTCGGGCTGTCCTGCCTGGCGTGGCTGGCCCAGGTAGCTGTATCCTCGCTGGCGGCTGGAGAACTGGGCTCAGCGTGCAGATCTCTGGCAGCTTCTCACCCTGCCTGCGACCTGGGAGGCTTTTCTGCACTGCTCTCCAGGAAATGCCATTGGAATGACTTCCACTGCAGCTTCCTGCCCGGCCCGCAGCAGCATTCCTGCCGCTAGACCCAGAACGATGCAGAGGCGAGTTTTCAGAGCTTTGCTCTTCGCCCCGTTTACTCAGTCCTCCTTCTTTGGGGCCCTGCCTGTTTTCCTTGCTGCCTCTCGGTGTGCTGTGCAGTGCAGTTTGATTACGTTCCTTAGATCTGTGATTAGAGCAGGCGCCTGGAAGGCAGAGCTGCTGCCCATCGCTGGCTGGGGCTCAGAGCAGCCCACTTAACCCCGTGGTCTTTCAGCAAAAGGGATAGCGTTTCTTTCCCTCTCAGGGGAGCCACTGGGAACTCAGATTCTTAAAGCACTCTGAGGTTCTTTAATCCAAAGAATGGAGTCTCATTTAGGAGAAAGAAAAAAAAAAAAAAAAAAAACCCAAACTGTGAAATAATTAACAAACTGTTTCTTGCTGCTTTGTGTTCACAGCTGCTCTCAGCAATGTCAGTCTTCCTGATCATCCTGCTGCTCTCTGTAACTGGAGCTGGGTCCCCCTGAGCGCTGCCCGGGGTCTCTCCCCATTTTAGCAGCAAAGGTGTGTCCCACC